CGCGCCGTCGACGATGGTGTGATCGAAGGTGAGGAGGAAGAGGGAGGTGATGAGCTTGAGCTCGAGCTTTGCGAGGCGAGTGCCGAGACAGGTTGTTTTGCCTGAATGCCGGCAAATTAGCACACCAAATACGGCATCGCACGAGGCCACTGACCGACTCCCCAGCCCACATACGCGAGGTCGCCCCTGTCCTTCGAGATCTGCTGCCTGGCGGGTCAAATCGCCATGGATCTGGGTAGACTTCGGGATCGAGATGGATATCGCTGAAGGGTAGACGAGATATGCGCCGGCTGGTATACGCTTTCCGTCGATATATGTCTCGGGACCCAGATTCCGCCGCATCGCAACATGCGGCTGCGCTACTCGCAGAGTCTCGCGCGTGATGCTATCCAGGACAGGCGTCGAGGACTCCCAGGCCTCGAGCGGAATCGATGCGAGTCGAGCGGAAAGATCTGGGAGTGTAAGGTCCGCATGTGTCTCCATCAATGCCTCGGCTTCGGCGCGGGCACTTTTCGCCCATCGGGGTGGGCGCCAAGGTAGGTGATAACCCAGCAAGCTGTCGGACAGTGTCAGGAGACGGCTCTCTGCCTGTGAAGAGAGATCGTACCAGTCGTTCCAGTGGCTCTCGCACCGGCTATCAGCAGGCCCATGATGAACTGCAGATCGGTTCGTCAGCAGAGCATGGATCAAGTCCAAGGATAGTACGCACACCGACGACCACGAGTTTGTCATCTCCCGAGTCAAGAAGCATCTGAAGCGTGTCGTCGCGCGCGATGCCGCTTTTCTCCGCGACGTCTATAGCGCGGACGACGATGTCGTAGATCTCCTTCGTCGCGCAAAGTTTCTTGAGCATGGCTGGGGTCGGCAGCCAAGGAAGGAGCACAGTGGCAGGCGTCGTGCCTGTTTCGAGGCGGTCGTACAGCAGTCTCAGCCGAGCGACGAGCTTGGCATCATCCGCGATACGCTTGAAGAAAGGCACCGGACGGTCGTTTGGAACGTCAGCTAGGTTGGCCATGCGTAAGCAGGAACGGATTCACGTGAGGAGACAAGGACCCACCTCGTAGATTTTGTCGAATGGATCGAACGTGCCAGCGGTCCCCAGTCACGGAGGATGACTTCCGAGTCTTTCAGGATCGCGGGGATTACTGGGGAAATCAATATGTGTGTTAAATCAGCGAGCTCCGCCGACTTACATTGCGAGAGCCGATCATTACGCTGGACAGCAGCGAGCCGCGATGGATGATGGTGGTGATGCGCTGCATCTGGAGGCCAGAGGTGACACCAGGGACCATGGGGATCTTAGACTGTTTCAGCAGGTGTTCATGGCTGGAGATGAAAGGAAAGCTATTACCGCGCCCGACAGAATCTTGAACCCTTCGGTCAGGTCGAAACCTTGGCGTAGAAGAAGGCTCGGCGTGCAGACGTTCCCGACAGGGCGATGACGGGTGTAGCTAGACGACGAGGAACTGATTAGCCCACTGCGACTGTAAGGCGAGCGGAGAGTGACTTACGTTCATGAGTTGGAAACGGAAGATGTTCTGGCCAGTGACATGGAATCCCCAGTTGAGAAAGTCGTACCGGTGCCGGAAGAAGGGGACGATCGAGAAAAATGAAGGGCCAGGCAAAGCTTTAGGTTCTTCGAATCCGTCGTGCTGCACGGCCGAGGAGGCAGTGAGGATAATAATGAGGCAGATTACGACAGCAAGTGAGCACTGCACGACGAGTCCGGAGCCCAGGAGCGCATGGGCAGCGGTGACCAGGCCGCTCGTAATGTGAGGCATGGAGAAGATGAGTTAATCGAGGAGACGACAGAACAGCGAGTGGAGGACATCAATTTATAGTTGGCATGCCTCTGCGGTGCACCAAGAGGGGAAGCGGAAAATCTGGGGCCGAATCTGGGATAAAACACATCTCGTTCCATGCCGCTTGACGGTCGAAGCCAGTGCGTTGCTGCAATCGGGCGAAGGATCTCTCGTCGATATCCCTTCTCACTGGCTGTCAAACCTCTAGGGTTCGGGCCCGAATTTACTCGAATTAAAATTTCGGCCAGTTGCCGACACGTGCACTTGTGTGTGGTAATGGCATTTGATGGTTGTGGATTCCCGAAAGAAGGGCCGTCCGTCATCGATAAAAGGCGTGTGGCGTCATATCTGGTTTTGAATCCCCACCGCTTCCGAAGGCGCATTGGCTTTTTCCGGAATTCAGTTTTTTCCTCGAGTCTGTGACGGCAATGCCGAACAGTCTTCGAAAAAAAGCGCCGGGGTCAGTCCAGACCACGCACCTCGAGTTTCCTGTTGCAACGAGCTGGCAACGAGCGTGTAACGATGGCATGCCCTGTCGGCTGCCCTGCTCTATTCCTGAATTCCAACCGTTCAAATTTCCTTTTTGGGGTTGCCGGAGTTGATTGTATCTAGGAAGTTTGGCTGCTGACATGATTGCACGTCATTCTGTGGGTGATCTGCCCCAGCGGGGCGGCGGAATGAAGGGTTGAACGATTGTCGGGGCGCTTGGAGATAATAATTCGAGCGCGATAGAGTAATCCACAGCCAGGGCCATCAGGATTTTTGGAGCGCCTGTGGTCCATCGTGTATGTTTTGAATGGACGGAAGCAGACGCTCGGGACCGTTGCAGACGCTGAGACGTCATTCGTTGCGATGGAATGTGTAGTCTGCACTGCACGGAGACAACGCCGTAACTCGTCAGCGCAAGATTCAGGCTCGCGAGACTCGACGAAAAGATGGAGTGAGTCAGTGAGATCATGGAAGCAACTGAATAGAACTAACATGGAAACGGAAATTGACGTGGATGTGTCAACGCAGAGGTTAATCCATAATGAAGTGGACCCTCTCTCGGATCTGTTGCGGAAATAGTGCCAGTTTAACGAACTGTGCTTCAATTGTCGATGAAACCCATGTCAAACGCAGCTAGGAATCGAAATCCATCACGTCCGATTGAAGTTAATCGATTGCATTTCCAGTGTGAGAATTAAAGAAGGTTACAGGAGTCCCGCGCGCGGAAACATCGACGGTACCGTGTAGAGATGGCAGACAAACGGCGTCGATAAGCACTGACACGGGATCAGTTGGGTTCTGGGCGAGATGGACAGACACAGACGATTATCAAGCGCAAACATTTGACTCGGAGTACGTGAATCGAAGCGCAGTCAGCACTCCCGCGTAATGGGCAGTGGCCGCGGCAACGACGCAGCAGTGGAATATCTGATGTGAAGCAAACAGATAGTCGAACTTTCCAGGTGCTAAGCGTTCGGGGATACGGTTGGCACTGGTCGGAGAGAAGACTCGGTGAGCACTTGCATAGGACCCGTGCACGGTGCCGTGCGTACTAGAGAAGCGCGCCGGCAATGTAAAGTGCAGCGGAGACCACAATCCAGCTGAAGCCCTGCTGAAAAAAGACCCTGTGAACTCCTGATGTCAGGGTGCAGTGCACGACGGGCACAATCCCGGACAGCCCCAGCCCGATGAAAACACCCGTCCGGGCCCCGCGATGGGTCGGTTTGGCATATTCGGGATCGAGGACAACGTAGGCCGCCCCTGTATCACCTAATACATCGGGTCCCGGCGCATGGGAATGGTTGCGACGCACCGATGCCGATGACAGTAAGGGATACGATATACAGCCCTTGCAATATAGGTTGACAGAAAAAACCAAAATGAAGAGCGGGATAGAATGAGCCTGCAGCCAATGTCAATCTTTTATTCTACGGCAAACTGCACAGTGAACCTCACCAACGGTAAGGATCACGATGCCCGAGTAATCCAGCGCATGGCACCTGCTGGCAACCTATCGAGTGTCGGAAACACACGGAGAGCTAAGCTTCAAGAAGGTTACCTCTTTCGAATGGCAGGTTGAGGTGTGGAAGAAGGCACTGGCCAACAAACAGAACACTGCCGAGATAAGGAAGACTGCAAGCACCGCGGAATCGACCCATGTAGAAGCCGCATATTGCTGCATGTGCACTTCACGGAATGTCGCCAAGAAATATATGAACAGTATTCCCCCCGCCAAGTGTGTATGAATGTTCACTGTGCGAGAAACGGGTTGTGAGCGGCGAAGAAGACGCATTGGCCTGCCTTACCACTCTCGTTATGAAAATCTAACTTTGGGTGAATAAGAGGGATCAAATGCACTTGGAAGGTCACAGACATGCATAAACAGATTGAATGCATCCCGGCCAGTGGTTCTGGATCCTAGAAAGAGGTCGTGGCCTTCAATGAGTCAATCTACAGACGCACTGGATCATACCGTCGATATCCAGTCAAAATGTACTCGTTGTCTCTCTGCCACTCCGGAAGCTCATCCCATGAAACCGTGGGGTGTCCTTTCACGATCTTGCCTCCGCCAGAGGTTCTCTTTCCGAGTCGGTTCCGCAACCTTGTCGACATGCAGTGGTTGATGGAATAAGCCCACGTGGCCTCTCACAGTACGGATCAAACAAGTTGAGATTCCGCCGGAGGTCGACTTATTTGCCGATCACTGAACGTGGACGATTGCTTGGAAGGTTGAGATTCGAACTGCAAGATTGGCCGCGTCGGGCCAATATTTTCGGACTTTTATTTTGCTGGAGAATCGCCACTCATGCCCGCTTGTCCCAGTGGTAAGGAGTCTCACTCGTATCATTATGTGATGAGAAGATCAGTCGTTCGAATCGGCTAGTGGGCATTCATTAACTTTTTCGCTCTCCAACTCGCTCTCACTGATCCACGTATGTATGATTCTGCTTCTCTGGACGATACTTCACTGACCACATCAGACGTGACGTGACAATCAGATCCAAAACCTGGTCCATCGTCACGCGTCACGTCGCACTATAAATCGATGAATTGATGGATTCACACTTTTCCTTACACAGCAGACACAAGGCCGCGAAGCTCGTTCCATACAGAATCGCATGATTCTTCCTCACGAGCGGGCCAAGGTCTGAGTATTTAACCCCCCTCGAACGGTCCTAGCAGGGCCCGACGGTCATCGTCGAGCGACGTATCAGAAATCCATCCGACCTTTCATGATCTCGAAGATCTTCTTGCGAAGGGAGAGTCGTTGCGGGGAGCGGATTTAGAACTCGTCGCGGGGGTCGGGCGGTGCTCTCTTTTTTGCTCCTGCCGGGCGTCTTTTATCGGTGTCCAAGGTGCCTTCTTCGGAAGGTGCGGGGGGAGGGCTGGTTTGTGTGATGCTTTCCTGCCTCCCTTGCATCGCTCTCGGGCGATCTTGTGCTAGCATCGTCGCGCAACCCCCACAAAGTGCGCCGGAAGTGGCTGCAGCCTTCAAGCGGAATTCGAATACAGCAGGTCGCGTGCGCAGATCAAGTCATATGTGATCAGAAATGTCCCACAGAGGACGGCTAGCTATGCCTATATTTCAGAGAGGGTTGTTAGTAGCGCTGCTGCTTCCTTCAAGGCGACGGTCCCAAGACGAATATACTCAGAAGGATCCGGGCGGCATCGCGCGGCGGGCTCGGCGCACGAGAAAGCGCTCGGCGTTTGGACTGATCAAGGGCGTTCCGTCCTTGAGTGCACTTCGCGGCACACGCTGTCGAACCGTCTCGCGAACGGGGAGATACTGTGTAACTCGATTCAGACTACTCTGTGTCTGCTGTGTCAACAATTTTTTCCACATCGCTTCCTTTGGGAGCTGCTTGGCTCCAGGGTCGGTTCTGTGTTATCGGTGAGTTCTCTCTACTTTTGGCCGATAAATGTGCTGATTTCTCACTCTCTGCCACCCACAGGCCTTAGTGTCACTCAATGCCCTTGGCCTTGCGTGATATGTGCCTGTGTAGTTGTTTGCTCCGTGAATGTATCATTGCACCGTGGAGTGATAGAATCCTGCCTAATCGGGAACCCTGAATGTATACTTGATCCTGACCGTCATGAATGCTAAGAACGTTGAGGGCATGCTCTTATTGGAGCAGTCTTTTGCCAGGGTGACGGCGCCTCTCACCCAGCAAGCACGTCTGTGAAGGCTAATTGCTTCAGCAGGTGCCTTACGAGAATTACCGGAAGGTCTTTCGGACGAGCCAACGATACATCGACCGGGATCTCTATAGAACACTATGCGACTCCGCCAAGTCTTTCGCAGACCAGGCTTCGAGCTCCTCTGCACCCACAGGGGGCGAAGTTGATTCTGAGAGGGCGATACAGTCTATCGACGCCATGATCACCAATGTAGAGAACCTCAAGCGCAAAGCCAGTAGCCTTGTTACGATCGTAAACCCTCGGCTCATACCACCCTTCTCTAGCTTAGCCAATTACACGCCACCTCTGGTGGACCTACTCAGGACGTCCTTCGCGAGCGACTACAGCACGTAGCCACAATAGAGCGGCCGTCGACCAATGAAGCGGAGCACGAACGCTGGGCAGACGCCAGATTGGATAGGTGGCTGGTCGACTGGGCTTTGAGAAATGGGAAGGAGAACACGGCGAGGATGATTGCAAAAGAGAAACACATCGAAGTGCGTGCAGCTTCGACTGCAGGCAAGTATGCTGACCACGGGCGAAAGAATCTGGTGGACATCGACCTCTTTAGCGACGTTAGGAGGATAGAGAAGGCCCTTGAGCAGCACAGCTGCGCTGAGGCGCTCGTGTGGTGCAGTGAGAATAAGAGTGCCTTGCGCAAGATGAAGGTAATTCTTTCTTGGCGCACTTCCGCGGATTAATGACCTTGTGCCAGAGTACTTTGGAGTTCGACCTTCGCCTCCAAGAGTTCATTGAACTTGCTCGCGCCCTCAAATACAAGGAAGCTATTGCTTATTCACACAAGTACCTTGTTCCATGGAAGGAGACGCATGCTGAGCAAATCATGCAAGTATCGGCACTTCTGTGTTTCCAGCCAAAGAACACGTCGCAGGGACGGTACAAGGTAAGCTCTTGTGGTGACCCGGAAACCGACTGACTGGAAATACAGCGTCTGTACGATCCGTCCCGCTGGTCTTCCTTAGTCGAATCTTTCCGTCGAGCTGTCTATTCGCTCAACGCTCTCCCCTCCGAACCGCTGCTCAATCTCAGTCTGTACGCTGGACTCGCCTCTCTGAAACTTCCTGCCTGTTTCAATCCCCATACGAAAAACGTCGACTGTCCTGTCTGTGATGGAGGCTCGGGCTCTGGTGGAGGGCTGGGCAAATTGGCAGAACAGGTTCCATTGAGTCACCACGCCAATTCCACGATCGTCTGCTGGATCACGGGCAAGATCATGGACGCGGACAACATGCCATTAGCGTTTCCGGACTCGGGATATGTTTATTCGAAAGATGTGCGTGTTGCTCGCGATTGCTACTTTTTCTGTACTTATGGCTTTTTTCAGGCCATGGAAGAAATGGCTCTCAAGAACAACGGCGTAGTCACATGTCCGCGAAGCAAATCGACGTGCCAATATTCGGATTTGCGCAAGGTCTTCATCTCTTGAAGTTCCAAGGTTCTCTGGACAAATGTATCACATTGTATCAATAGCTCCTTGGATTTCGTTCGAAGCATTTGAGTCCAGTATGTACTGGAAATATGTACGATGATTGCTTTGCATGCCCGGAAATACGGAGGCAGCTGGACCGCGGCGACAAATCTAGCGCGCGTCATGTTGCCACGATCTCGGCTTTCAAGCCTCCAGGCCCCGTCTAGCCACAAAGGATGCCTTCCCTCTCCCGCATATTTCTCGGCGCTGTTGTCCTTCTCGGCGCCATTGTAGCCGTTTACATCCTGCCCGCATCTTCGCCCAACGGCACCTCCTCACCCGTGATGGCAGCATATCCGACCGACCCATACGCTGCACTGCAGTACAACATGGTGAACAGTGCGTATTCCACCGCGGAGGCCTCAGCGAGTGAACTGGATTGATTCTCTTCGGGGGTAGCGCACGACACGTTCAAGGTCGCGTACAAGCAGATCATTCCTCTGCTCGATAAACCGCCTCTTGACGACCTCGATAATTTCTTGGGATACTGTCGCGCTTGGGCCGTCCGTCCCCTTCCAGTCTCTAACGACTGACATCCAAATAGACCGTCTCTTGTCGCTAGGCATGCATCGTCGAGCATCACGATTCGGAGGAAGACTCTCTCTTCCCCTTCCTTAATGGCAAGTCCGACTTTGGCAAGGAAATCGAACAGCACGTCTTCATCGCCAAGGCACTCACTGAGATCCTGGGCTTCATCGACCAGGCGCGGGCCGACCCCAGCAACTTCGATGCCGCGAAGCTGAAAGGAATGATGGAGACGCTCGACGGACCTCTGGTGCGTGTCACGTTGATCACGCTGTATCACCGGCAGCTAAGCATATACTTGGGATACCAGTTCGAACACCTGGATGAGGAGGTTGAAGACCTCGCACCCGAGAAGCTTAAGGCTGCCGGATTCACGCCGGAGGAGCTGAGCAAGGCAGGAAAGGATCTCATGGTCTACATCCGCGCCCACTCTGACAAATACGTGACTTTGCCTTTCATGCGAACTCACACACCGCCCGAGCTGAAGGAGATCTGGCCACCGTTCCCGTGGATCGTTAAGCGCCTCGTCGTTCCCTGGATGCTCTATCCCCAGAATGCGGGATACTGGAAATATGCGCCTTATTCTGTTTCGTGATACCTGTTTGACATAAATATGTTCTATCAATCTGAGCCGTATACGATAGATTTTTGTCTACGCGAGGATGAACGAGGTCTCGGTCAATCTTAGTCTATTAGGGCTCATCCTGTTCCGCATGATCGTGTGGGATGGATCTGGACTCAATCAAGATGCTTTTGACGTGCTCCTCGAGTAACATCCCTAAAACTCGGTGAACAGGCCAAGACCAAAGTGGAATCATGTCCGCATACCTAATGCCAGCAAGGCGGATCCATCCATGCTTTTGTACATATCTTTCTCTGGCCGGGTTTCTTCCAACGGGCCGTCGTCCCCGTCCTCGCTGCCGGAAATTTCATCATCGTCATCTTCTTCATCTTCCTCTTCCTCTTCCGGTTCCGGTTCCTCTTCCTCCTCTCGAGGTTCCTGACCGCTAGCCGTCGCTCGGACCGTGGATCCCGCCATACGACGCTCCTTCAAAGATTGTCGATAGCTACGAGAGGCGTTGTACAGCTGCCCCCGCTTGGAGTAATACTCGCAGGTATAGTGGTGAACACTTTTCAAGAGATCCTGGATCGGTGCAAGATGAGTCGCCTTTACCAGAACACGGACAGATCATAATTACAGAAGAAGGCAGCGGATCGAGATAGCCTCCGCGGTCTTCAGAGCTGAGCGACAGGACAGGGATAGTCCCTAGAAAGCCGGGATCGTGGTTGTATTTACGGCGTTTCTTCAGTCGCTGGGGGGCTTCTGTCAGGTTGCCTAAAGTCTCTTCAGCAGAAGCGTTTTTGTCATCGATGCTGATCTCCTCATGACCACTGTCCCGATAGTCTGAGTCGAGTGATCGCAGCTTTGGAATCCGCGTGGTGTCCTGATAAATCCGATTTCCTCTGGGGTCGACAATCTGGCTTAGCTCAGAAGGCAGATGGGAGGCCGATTTTGATTTTCGAGAAGCGAGACTCGAGGCATCGTATACCGTATAGCGGCTCATGGATGGATGGGTATAACACTGTCCTAAACAGCACCACACAACGCCTCGACACTCAGTCGCTTGTTTAGGAAACTCCTTGTGGGATATTCTCAGATACAGCGGTATGGATTGCAGAGTGTACGAATAGAGTGTGGGTATAGCGATGCCAGGTATACAAGGGGAAATAGTGGAAATCAAGGGAAGCTGAGGAGCAGAGTCTTCATAGCCTCCTCCCAAGAGCAATCAGGAAGGCCTTTGCCTCCACAGGACTCGAGCAACAGGGCAGGAATCCCAGACAGCTTATTGTTCATGTAAGTCACAAGAGCGCCAGATGTCATCGTCGCACGGCCGCGAATGCGCTTGGAAGGAAGACAGGAGTTGACGCGCTCGAGCGACTGGCGGAAGGATGCCGAGTGAGGATTGATGGCAGCTTGCAACGAAGAGCGGGTGGTGTTGAAGGAAATGTCACGGAAAATATGATAGAAGTGCACGATGGAGCCAGGTGTCCCGCACACGACTGGACAATCAGGATTCGGGCAGCCTTTAGGGTCGACTCCGTTGACTTGACATTTGCCATGGAAGAAACCAGGGAAGATGCCCGCCTCCAGCGCGTCGTAAGATGAGTTGCTGAATTCTTGAAAGATAGGAGCGAGTATTTCAGCCTTCTGCTTTGGGGGACAGGCGAGTCCGAGATCGCTGTCGATCTTTTGGGACTGCAGAGCGTCGAAGTTCGAGAAGTACAGACTGAGCGAGTTTCACTAACCAAGTGGGACATCGTAGACAGCACAGGCCCGCCTTTATAATTCACATCCATAGCTTTGGTCACCGCTATGATGCATTCCCCTTCGCACGCTGAAACTTGGCAAGAGGCGGAGAGAATGGCGAGAATGGCGAGTGGAGCGAAGTACATCTTGAATTGGATTGCCGAGATATCAAAGAGTGCAGGTGGCGAGACTTTGTCGTTTTGAACGAGTGTGTGTCGGTGGCAAACCAGTAAGGAGGAGCTTGAAAGTTGAGGTAAGATAGCCAAACCAAAGTCCGGTAAATACGGCCTAAATCTGAAATCACCGCAAAAAATATCAGTCGGCCCCGCCCCCTCCGCTCACCGCTGTGTCATACTTGACTAGAAATGCACCATATTAGGAAGGACCTGCGCAGCGGCTGCAGGCATTCAACTCACTTGCACACATAGCCTTGACGAGCAAATCACAGGCCTATCTCAATCTCCACACGAAGGAGATAAAATTGAACCACGGATCACACAATAGACGCGTCAGGGGACAGTCCGTGTGGTGCTTTGTGAGCGACTACGAGGATTCAAGAATGAATCAGAATATACTACATCGGCTAGATAACTAAGGGGAGGTCGGGGATATACAAGGAAGATAGGCTGCAAAACGTCCATTTACTTGCTTTCTTCTTCTTGGGTCTCCGCCACGGCGACTTTCTCGACAGGGAAGGTGTACTGAGGGGGAGCAACGAGGAGATCTTCAGCGTCGAATTCGATGACGGTGTACTCATCCTCTTCCGAGCGGGATCCCTTGACCAGGCGGTAAGAAACAATCATGAGGACCCAGACCATGCGCAGGAGGACACCGATGCCACAGCCTAAGAGATGTGAGAAGGAGAGAATAAGAGAGAAGGTGTGTTACGCACCAAGGACAAAGGCAACCGCACGACCCTCCCAAGGTCCGAGCGACATGAGTGCAAAGTGCACCCGGATGAGGAACGAGGGCTCCTCATCTTTGTGAGCGTGGGCATGAGGGATCGGCTTCCCGTTCACAGGCGCGGGAACGGGAACGACGGCATTCCTGTCAGGCTGGGAGCCCGAAGGGATGAACAAAGGAAGAGGAGGCAAAGCTACGTGCTCGAGTTGTGGCTCCTTATTCAGCTTGTGGATATGATGGTGATAGTGAGGACGGACGGCCTTATCGCCGGGCGGCGACGAGAGCCCCAGCGCGAGACGGAAGGCCTCAGCCATGCTCTTAGCTTTCTGGCGGAATCGGCTGGCAGCACAGGGAGCATGCTTGACGACTGCAGCGCCGTTCTGGACGTGAGCGGAGGGGTGATGAATGGTCGGGATGTCGGATACAGAGCCGCTGTTGACGGTTTCTATGCTGCTGGAAACGACAACAACACGGAGAGGGTTAGCGCTGGCGGCTAAATTGGTGGGAAACAAGAATCGACTATCAGTCCCATATTCATTGCCTGCATGTAGGGAGCGACTGACCGAGCGCAGCGCTCACGACGGCAAGGGGAAGAAGGGCAAATTTCATAATGGAAACTGAGGATCGGGTTTGTTTGAGGGGTTAACGAGTGTAGTGGGCACGCACAAGGTGGTGGGGGTTGGGATCTAAGAGACTGGGGACTGCGCTTTATGACATGATGGCATGCCGCATTGACACGCGGTTTCCCGCGATCCGAGTCACGTTCAAGGTCCACTACCGATCAGGTTCAAGATCGAGCCGCTGATTAAATTAGCGGTTGTCGAGAAGAGCAATGAAAAGGCGATCGTAAAAATGCGGTCCGGGGAAAGCCTCAGAGTAAGTTCTGGACGGATAGTGTGCACCGTCATTGCACACGGATCAGAAATACACATCAAAGCCGACGCTGTCCTTCCAATTTCGGCAATCGCGTGCTTCCAACCTCATCGGAAATCTTTGTGCCCTGAGGACCTGGAAACGAGATCAGATGAAAATTCAGCGGTGACGGAACAGGTCTCTTCCCGGTAAGCTTCAGGCTCTCTTCACACCAATGAAATCTTCTAACATGTCTTCAGTCAAGGTTATGACTGAAACTGCCTCTCAACATTGCACTGCTAGTCTCACAGCAACATATTGCTTCCATCTGTTGAGCTCTGTTGGCTCAGCAGCGGGCCGCTCAGTGTCATTTCAAGATCATCAGAAGTAGTGATACGCGAATGAGGCATAGATGATAGCGCTCGCTTGACGCGCAGATCGCTCTCGCCTCTTTCTCTTTCTCCCCGGTCTCTCTGCCCCCTTCACGAACGCGAGGACTGAGCCATGTCATTGGGTGCGTATTCAGGAAGTTATCGCGCCCGCCATTAACGATCGAGCGGCAGTCCGCGGCGTGGGAACATCGCTATGCCTATTCGTACTGCTCTTCTTACACGCGCTTAGTGCACACGCCCGACCGACTGAAACGACATTCTCGAGACCCTTGGCCGTTCAACGCAGGGCTGCTGCTGGACCAGCACTCACGTCGTCGACCTGGATCTGGTCATCATCCACATCCACATCCACATCAACCACTGCGCCGACCGCATTCCTAAAAACTCTCGCTTCGCCTAACGGCCAGACTGCGATTAGCGCGGTCATCAGTCTCGCTGCGGTCAACAACTTCACGCTGTGGGTGAACGGCCAGCCCATTGGACAACAGGCGTCCATCTGGACTGAAGCGAGTGTGTTGAGGGTAGCTCTCAACACGAGTCTTAACGTGTTTTCTGTGCTGGTCGAAGACGAGGATGCGACCTCGAGCGTGCCCCAGGGATTCGTCGCGGCGCTTTCCGTGACATTCAGTGATGGATCGTCCTCGACGATAGTTTCTGATTCGACGTGGCTTGCATCAAGCAACCCGCCGACAGGATTCCCTTCCTCCTCGGATCTGACCGGGTTCTCACCTGCTCAGTCGCTAGCGCTGTTTGGGAGTGGGGCATGGGGGAGCAGCGTCAGTGTGCCTTCGCCGACATCTTCCAGTTCCATCTCGCTACAAGGCAGCACCTGGCTATGGTCGACGGCGAATGCCAGTACAAATGCGCCCCCTGGGACCATTGGTCTGCGCAAAAGGTTTTCGGTTCCGGCTGGGAAGACGGCTCGATCTGCAATAGCGCTCATGTCGTGTGACAACTGGTTTTCGCTTTACTTCAATGGAGCGTTCATTGCTGCGCCCCCGTTGACCCAAATACGGTTGGGGAGACATACCAGGCATGGCAGTTCGCGCAGCAGGTGGCCATTCCCATCTCTGGCTCCGACGTTGTCTTCGAGGTGCTCGCGCAGAACTTTCTCGGCAACGGCCCCAGCGGCGGGACGTCGTCCGCTGGTTTCATCGGAACGATTCTGGTCACCTACGCTGACGGGTCGAGTGATACCATACATTCTGACGGCACTTGGCTTGCTGCGGCGGCCAATGTGACTGCGGCAGGCTTCACGGGGATGCAGGACAGTGCGTTAAGCTCTGCCGTTGCACAAGGACTGTATGGAATAGCTCCCTGGGGCCAGCAGGTGGGCACTGCGGACGTTTTGGCAGCCGCCAACGTGCCCTCTGTTGTTGCAGTTTCGCCCGTCTCCACTGTACCACCCACCCATCGCTCGGGCGGAGCAGCCATTGGGGCCGGAGCAGCTATCGGCGCAGTGGCTCTGATCTCCATCATTGTCGGAATATTCATCATGCGCCAGCGACGACATCGAACAAATCTGGCACGTTTGTCGAAGCACGCACTGTCCGCCGCCGCCGAATTCGATCCCTTCCCGCTGACCGTCCAGCCTCAGCCACCGCAGCAGCAACATCCCATCCAAATGCTCAACGTGTCCTCCTCGTCCGAGCCGTTGATCCCCAATCGGCCGGGCGTGCCGATATCGCATGCTGATTCGTCGCACTTGGACGGATCGTCGCACCAGACTCCTGATTCGCAAGAGGTCGAACTCGGCCCTCCTCCAAGTTACTCGTATACTAGCGCGTCAGAGAGTGCCATTTCTGCAGCTGCGGCCAACAACGCCAAATCCAGCGGGGCATTGCGGCCGAACGAGGCGAGTAGTCAGGGGCCATCTGTACCGGCCAGTGCAGCGGGATCGATCCCTAATCCGTGGGGCGCATCATCGAGTGTCGGCGGTTCCTCAGGCAGGTGATTTGAGACTGGACAATTGTACATACCCTAGTAATCTCTTTGGGAAGTCACTTAATCAAGTAATGTATGTGTAAACGAGTCGGGCCGACCTGATTCGCGCCACGACCACGAGTATTCCGTGCCACTCCTGTGAGAAGTGGGCACCCGATTCTTTCAGGCGTTTGCAAAGTGCCGTCCGACTGTATTCCACGTTCGTGTGGCGCTCTCTCTCTTTCGAATCGTGTGTCATTGCAGATCTCCGGTCCACCGAATGTCAGCTCCCCGATGGGCGGTCGCACGAGTACATCTGCAAGATATCCCCGCCCGATTCTCACGGCATCATCCGTAGAATGGCTCCCGGATGCCAGTCAGACCTCGTGAACGAGATGTCCAATGCATCCAATGAGTTCCTCCTGGATAACTGAAGAGCGACGTTCTCGATGATGGACCCTGCCGACGATCTCGCGCGCCCGTCTGCTCTCGCTGGCAGGCAGGCCTCGGACATTCTGACCTGCCCACGGGGTGGCAGATGTGCCATTGGTCCGGTTGATCGCGCGATATTCTGTCCTTCAACGCCGTTCTCACTGCCGTACAGGTCACCTGTCATGCGCAAGGACGGAAAGGCATGCACTCTGGAATCCAGCACTTGGGTGTGTGATGAATGACTGCTCGATCTGTGCGAAGAATGAATACTTCACAGACAGATGAAGCGATCTGTGTTTGACAAATACTGCGGCAGATGAACCATTCCCGGTGTCAGTGGGTGCTTGCTGCATGTGTGCGCAGTAGAATGAGTCCAGGACGTTCATGCTGATAGATAATGTGGTAATTAGTACAGTGTAGCGCTTGAATCCGACGATACATAATGATATGTTCACCCTACCAAAACTTGCCAAAGACACTCCCTCGTGCCGCCGGACTGAGCAACATACCAACACCCTCTTGAATGGCAACACTGACTGGCCGCATCGGAGCAGCATCGAACACGTGAGGGGCCGGCTGCAGCAAGGGCGCCGCGGTCAGCCGAGGATGCTCCAACTCTCTCTCGTAGATCGAAGGCTGCCTCGGCTCTGAACCCAGCTCTGAGAACTGCGGTTCGTCAAACCCGCGACGGGCGACACGCAGGCGAGACAGGACCTGCTCATAGAAAGCGATCTCTCCGTCGAGATGCTCCTTGGCCAGATCCGAGAAATCGTCGTTCTTCTGCGCATGATATGTCTCCATTTCGGCCATGGTGGTGTTCAGCACCGTTTCGCAGCGAGCAACCATTTCCGCGTCCCCGCCGGTTTCTTGGGCCTCAGAGTATCGAGAGAGAGTGGAGCGATGAGTGGTCACAACTCCCTGAGGAACGTTGGCTGGCAGTCATCAAAATTCTACACAAGACTTGCCTGATACAAGGAGGAGGGATGCGCCACTCCTTTGAGGGCTTCGTGCGTTGCAAGTTGCGTTCTTCTCGCCTGTGAATCCTATGTCTAGAGCAAGATTCGAGAAGGAAGACTGCGGCTCACATGGTCGTCATACAAGTCTGCCACATTCTGCAGAGCCTCCGATGTCTTTTGCATTGCCTTGGTGAGCCTCAGGCAGTCTGTGCATCCTTCCCTCCAGCACCACGCCCCTTCCTCGTTCAGCAGTCCCTTGCTTTTAGTATTGTAGTCCTCCTCCTCCTCGCTTGTGCCCGTAGTCGGTGCTGATGCAAGAGGCTTTGATGTGATAAGGGAGAAAAGAGAGTACGAAAGAAGTCGTTCCGCTTGAGACATCTCTGGCCGGCAGTGAGCAACAAGCTAAACCTGCAGAAGACACGACAAACCGATGCGAGCCTCCCGAACACGACCAAAGATGTTCCGCAGGCCCTGCACGCCTTTCCCCACCGCTCGTGTGTGGGTATCGAAGCGGTCCACCGCCTCCGATGCTTCGTCGGCATCAACATTGAATTCAGGATGGAACACCCGAGCGTAGAATGTCGGGCCCGCGGCTGGCATGGCCAGGTGCTGTGGGACCAGTCGTTTCCACTCCTGTAAATCCGACCGTTTAGACCGCCTCTCAAAGCAACCAGTAGACTGACCGTATCGCTTTCACAACCAAGGAAGAAGGTGACGACTTCCGCGTACCGCGCAACTGGGTGTCGCACTAGCCGGCAGATGTATCGCTCGAGATCTGCCCTGCGCGCCTCAACGAATTCCTCACTGAAGCGCCCAGCATACTGCTTCTCGGGCAGCGGAGGAAGTGCGATGCCGGGCAACCGTCTTGTCAAGGCCGTATGCAGGATCACGAAGTGAGAGAATCGGCGATGTACCGTGATCCGCGTTGGCGACGCCGGCGGTTCGTCGTGGTCACCATCGGCTGGAGCAGTACGGAAGAGGGACGTAACATTGTAGATCGTGAACGAGCCTGACAGAGTCGAGGTGCGCTTCGAAGGTGAATGTACGAGCACCCGAAACGGAGGCAGTTTCGCTTTCCACGCGTGTCCAACGTCTACAAAGTGCCGGTCTGCCTCCCCTAGACCAAGGAGATTGAGACGATTCCGCTCTTCATCCTCCTCGTCTCCCAGATCCGAGTCATTGCTGTCCGTCTTCTGGTGGGCTGCAGGCGCCACCATGTCGGGCACACTGCTTCCCTTCAGGACCCACTCCTCCGCCCCGCTCGTCACGAACGTCGAGAACCGGTTCAGGCTCTTGCCCCCAAGCAGACTCTGCCGGAAGTTCGGGAACGCGGCGCGCCATTCGCCTGTGTGCTGGGGCACTATCGCCGGGCTTTCGGCCATCGTCCGGGACGTGATCGTCCTGTTAGAGGCATCACGCTTGTGCCCGCTTCCGAGCCCGCCTCCGGTGCCGTGCACGAAGCCCGAGGCAGCAACTTGCGGTGTGGCCATGAAGTCGGAAGTGAACTACACGGACGTAAGCCAAGGAATGCAGCAGAGTAAACAGCAGGCCGTACGGTGTAGTACGATCTCGGGAGCAGCCCGACCTCTCCAGCGACATTCCGCACGAGACTCCATCCGTCGGCCAGATCTTCTCTGACGACATCGAGCGTCTCCCCTGCCTCGACACTGAGCTCTCGAAACTCCGCCTTTCCTTCGAAATCATACAACGCCCGTGCAGATTTGAGCGGCTCGGCGTCTTCGTCTTGTACATCGGCATCCGGCTCGTCTGGCTCCTCGTCTGAGAGCGAACCGGATTGCTCAAGATGCTCAGTCCAGGCAGCCGATGAATTGATACCCGCGTCGAAATCTGACCGGGGTCGAGCACCTGGCCCGAAGATTCGCGGGGGTTTTGAGGATGTCGCAGAGGATGCCATGTAAGATGAATGGGACTGTTACAGATGTATGCAAGGAAGAATCGTTGATAAGTGAAGTGAAGCTTCGTAACAGATGGATGGATAGGGGCTGAGATCACGTGAAGAACTAACTCTCAGAGAGGGTCTATAACATCTTTGCCTCTATGTATTTCACCAGGTACAGTAGATGAGTGTGTGGATAATTTACACGAAAATCTATTACTCGCAGTCAGGGAAACCCAGGCTTCCCCAGCCAGTCCAGTCTGGGTGGCAAGCACGGAAGTGAGCAGTCTTGTCAATGGCCTGCAGTTCAGCAACCTCTTCAGCGGTCAGATCAACGATTGTCTTGTTCGCTGGACACAAAGGAAGGTTATCCCAAGTGTGCATTATCAGACGACAAGATTGACGAACCGAGAATACGCTCGTTGGAGACAGACTTGGGGAGGACGGTGACCCCTGGCCTGTTGGCCTGGAGGGATACGAGAATGTTGGCGGGAGTAACACTGTGTTTCTCCGCAAGTTTCTTGACAACCTCGTTCGTGAGAAGAGGAGAGTTGTCGGAGCCAAGGGGGGAGTACGCTGTCACTGCGATGCCTTTGGAGAGGCAGAAGTCGACAATGTCTTGTTGAGGGCACGACCTGCCAGCATCAGATGGTCAACGATCATGAACCCATAGTGATGAAGCTGTGGAAACCCACGGGTGCAGCTCAATCTGGTTCACGGCAGGAATGACCTCCGCAACCTCGAGCAGACGCTCCATAAACTTGACGGAAAAGTTGGAGACGCCGATCGCCTTGAGCTTGTCGGGGTGCGCCTTGTACAATTTCTCCATGGACTTCCATGCATCGAGCCAGTCCTTGCTCTTGTCAGCCAAAGCAGGGGTGCCCTTTGTCATGGGAGCCGGCCAGTGCATCAGCCAGAGATCGAGGTAGTCTGTGCCCAGATTCTTGAGCGAGGACTCGAGAGCTTCCGGTGCTTCCGCCTGGTCTGGCAAAGCTCTTAACAACATACCCTCGCTAGCACACACAACCACGCACCAGGGTTGTCCAACTTGGTCGTCAGGAAGAACGAGCTACGGGGGACACCCGACGCGGCAATACCCTTGCCGACCTCAGTCTCGTTCTTGTAGGCCGCAGCAGTGTCGATGGATTTATATCCATTGCGGAGGGCGAACTCAACGGCGTGCTCGACCTGTCCAGGCTGGCTCTTCCACGTTCCTAGAATAGTGGGTTGAAAATAAATCTCAATCAGCTGAGCGCCGCTTCGGATGATGGTCAGTGAGACGCACCAAGGCCAACCGTGGGCATCTCAGCACCGGTGTTCAATTTGACAGAAATGCTAGCTGGCATCTGGAGTCGAGTGTGGGGTCAAGTCTGGTAAAGTTTCAAGAGATTGTCGACCAAGCCCTCTGGGACCTCCTGCTTTATAGTCGGGCCCATCGATAATCGTCAGCATTTCCGGCACACTGGGAATGATCAACCGGCGGTCCTAAGCGGACCGAAGAGGACCGAAGACACAAGATGTCATGGGACTCCCGAGTACTCGCACCCGCGGTATCTCCGCACACTAGAGATAGCCCTGCGAAAGGCTTCAGCACGGGCATTGGAGCAAGTACTATACACTCACCACAATAGTGTGGGCAGTCCGGGAGCGTTCGTTTCGATCTGCAGCCCAGTGAAAGGCGTCTGAGGCAAACATCCTATCAAGGTTTGTCTGGAACAAGTCCGCGGAATTGCGGACCGACATCCGGTCCAGGTACAGATACAACACAGAGCCAGTATGTACCCTACGAACGAAATACTAATGAGTGAGTTAAGGATATGGATGTGTACAGTAGTCTACATTACGGCCAAACAAATCGAGGAGGGATGGTTCCTAATGATGCGAGAGAATGCTGACGGCAATGTTGGTGGTAATACAAGTGTGGGATGGGTCATTCAGCAGACTAGAATCCAGGCAAACCCAACTGGGATCAGAGCGAAAGCTCCGCAGGAGACGTGACATCACGCAGCATTTCGTCCCAGTTTTCTTCGTCCCAAGTATCGTCATTTTCATCGTCGTCCTCAATGAAGAAGTGAGGTGACCGAACAGGTCGGCAGGGAGGAGGCGCTTGTCCTCCTTTCGTGGCGTCCAATCTCATCAACTCGATCAGCACCTCCCAGCGTTTGTACCAGGACGTCTCCCATCGAGGGCCCGGCTGCTCATGAGGCTTGCCCCGCTGGGCCAACATCACCGAACTTGATGGCGGTGTGGAAGACATAGGGATCTTGTCGCCGTCAAGATCAATCTCCACCAGCGACCCGATGCTGTCCTCGCCATCAACCAGGGTATGGTCCGAGTCGTCGCTGAATCCAGCCGATGACATAGATTCAGCCATAGACTCGCCCTCGCTGTCGTCACTATCATCCGCAGTCTCGAACGGAGAGGATAGTCGTCTCTGGTGACTCGCCAAGACGTGCACATCATACATCCATAGCGTCTTCGCCATCGTCCACGCTGGAAAGTTCACAAAACACCGATCCATGTGCGCACAGTACGGGTCTCGCAGCGCAGACAGCTCGCCACGCCGTGGGTGGATCGTCATGGGCGGCACCGGAGGGACCATCAGCGTCGGCAGGCGCACTGAACGAGGAGGAACCCTGGCCCTGGGATCAAGCACCGAGATCCCGCGGTCGCATAACCGGGTAAGGTGCCGCTCCCATTGGTCTTCGCGTAGCGACCAGAGGTATTTGAGGTGGAGAAGTGAATGTCGCGATCGACCATGGTGACCATATGCATGCCGTAGCGGCCGCACTTGTATGGACCGTTCATCTTCATTGGGGGAAAGAGGCGAGGGCAAGCAGGAGAATTTGGATCGTCTGAGAGGAGCTGGAGGCTGTGGTGTGAACGCCGACGGTTCGCAATCGGGGATAGTGATGGGCGGCAGAGGCTCCAATGGAGGCAACGATGGGGCTAGACTGAGAGCAGGAGCGCATTGCTCAATGGTCACGTCGGAAAGAGCAGATGAAGCCTCAGCGAGTATTTCCAACTCATACTCGATTTGGTCCAAGGAGTCGTCTGATTCGACGTCGTACTCCGTCGAGTACACGTCCATTTCGACAAGTGAAGATGTGGATGAGACAGAGGACAGCGACGGTAGTGCAGGAAGCATGAGAGGGTCAATGTCATCGTCATCGTATTCGCCGTTTCTGTACATCTGCTCTTCAGGCGACGTCGGTGCACTCAGCGCGGTGATGTCCATGTCGACTTCGGCCTCGCAGGGACCACCAGAGAGGATTCCAATTCTTTTGAATATACCCTTCGTCCACTGGAACGTGCCGGACCGTGGGCGCGAGTGAGGCTGCTCCTCAGTCGCGGTGTCTTTCGATGTCTCGCCGTTGAAACCGAGCCGACTATTCGGACGGGGCGGGAGGTCGTTTTCGTCGTAAGTCGTATCATGATGCTGCTCGTCCGCAATATCAGCTTCGAGCTGAGTGTCCGGGTCAGCGGAAGCGTAGGTTGATGAACATGAATGAAGCAGGGAAGGCGTAGACATGACTTCACGTCGCGAGCCACCTGGACTGATATGAGCCAAACTTGACAAGAGCGGGATAAACACGCGTACTTTGTTCAGGAACGGAAGCAAAGTAAGGATGCGAAGCAAACGGCGCGGTGGCGAGCAAGAGAAAAGCACGACGCACCGTGCGCTCTTACAACACGCTTCACACGTGACTCGCGAGTCCGATCACATTCCTTTTTTAGAAATTGTAATTGATACCTATTCTCCAAGCAGTAGAAAAATATTCCATCTGCGGGCGCGTTCATCTTCTGTTCCTGCTATACTGTGAGATTGCTTGTGCTACATTAAAAACGGTGTAATTGAGACAAATGCTACACTTTTCCGCGCCAGCGTATCTCGAGCAGACGGAGAGCTGGATACACGACAGTAGTGACCACAAAAGCAAGCTCAAAGCCAATGTCCCCGGTCACCCGTGCAATTGGACCGGTATACCAAACCTGGGCCATGGCCGGAATGGCGACTCCGATCCCGCAAGCTCCAGCGAGAAGAGCGGCAATACCGCTGGGGAGCTCGCTGGGCCGATTCCACTCAGACACATCATAGCGCGATAGATCTCCTTTGCGGAATATGAAGTGCTCCTCGAGTATTATGACGATGAAGACGCTGGCCCAGTAGCCGATCAGCCCAAGGAAGTTGCTCAAAGTCGAGTAGAAACTGTGGGCTCCGACAATCGAGAGTGGGATGACTCTAACGATGCGATTAGTTCCGAGCGAAATGAGCAGGCCAGGTCCACGCACATGGCCGTGATCAGCACCGAGAATACATAACGTGGCACAGACATGAGCGCTGGGACGAGGGTCTGGATATTCAGGGAGATGCAGTAGAATCTACGAGCACAGATCAGCCGATACTCTCACCAACGGAGACGATGCGGCTTACGTCGCAGCAACATTGCCCATGACAGATAGGGCAAGCAAGACAGTCAGGAATTTCCCAAATCCTCCCGCGGGACTCAATACAGCATCAAGCATCCCACCGACATTATCCGCCTCGTATCCTGCCTCCCATGCAGGAACATTCACGACACAGGCGCCGATCAAAGCGCCCAGACTTTGCAGTGCGACAGTCGGCAGCAAAAGGCCAAAATAGGAATACATGAATACAAGAGTCCTCAATTCGACGTCAGGCACGGAAGCGAAAAGTCGGGAAGAACATACTTGGGTGCCTCCGGTGGCATATAACAGCTGAAATCCGAGGAGAGGGGAGACCATGTTAATACAAAACCCGCGATAACAGCGGCAAAGGACAATATCGTCTGCACAGTGGCCGGTTCAGCTTCAGGTATGTCTCTGAAGTGTTTCCCGCCGATGCCCACGACGATCAGAAAGATGATGACGACAGGGATCCAGGCGAAACGCTCGTATCGGTGCAGAATCTTCCACCCACAAAACGACAGCAGAAGCGAAACGGCGGCAATAATGACGATTCCGACACTGAAACGGAGAGCTGCAGGACGTATCACGAAACGCAGAATGCAGTCCGCACCTCCAGCTGAGATTGCCGTTTGCTACGGCAGCCAGCGTCTGCCCACCGAGAATGCAATCTAATATGCAGAAACCCGTCATGTTGATGAGATTGAGGAGCACTGGGGCCATCACGCCAAAATATCTGGGAGCACAGAGATGAGAGAAGTGCTTTTCACCGGGTGATGACATACCCAAAACTGAATCGCGCTTGGACCATCTGCCGCAACCCCAAGCGAGGTCCCCAGGTCGAGCTGACGTTACTTCAGCCATCCATACGAACAACATTTCAGCAAGCAACAAACAGATAGCCTGCTGGTAAACAACAGAGGAGATTGAAGAACAAGATTACAAGGCATGAGTCTCGTAGACTAAGCCCGTACGCGATAGGACCGAGAGATCCTGTCGAGAACCTGGAGTGTCCGTCAGATCGAGCAATCTTGCACCTCGCTCTGCTTACGGTAGCAGATTGGTACTAGCCGAAAACCAAATGAAGAATATCTTCGAGTACTGGGTGTCTGTCCGGTCCTGGGGAGCAGTGAGGAGGGTCGCGGATGATTGTGCGAGTAGTGTTACCTCGAGGGTAACCGGTTTTATTCCTTACAGTCCTCAGATCTACAAGAAGCGGACGAATTCAGGCACTGGACGACATACCTCGAGCTTCCACACCCCAAAGAAGCAATCGATTCTGCCAGCTTAGGCTGCTGGACGTCGTCGAAGACCTTTCTTGAGTGAGTTTGCACTGTTTCTCATCTTCGTCCAACATGGCGGTACGGTGCCTCGGAAAGATGTGAGAAATCGAGTCAAACAATTTTTATAACATGGAGAAGGAAAGACGGAACAGGAATCGGACCACTCCGATGATCAATGATCGACGATAAGATGCTGAATCGAACCCTATCTAATCGATACCGCGATCGTACACCGAGTATGTCCTATGTGCTGAAATAGCTCTGGCCTTGTCCGCCAGTTCAATAGCCCTCATTGCAAACACACCTTGGGAAAATATTAGGAAGAATGAGAAGGGGGCCAGCAATGCTATCATGGTTAAATCAATCGCGCTGCTCTAGTAGCTCCGTGCCCACATCTCGGCGGTATCTTTGACTTAAAAGTAGCAGACCCAGTCGTGTTCAGAGGTGACCTGACCTCATCCAACACCATCTAGAAATGTATATCGACGCAGATCACCACTGCGCTTTGACCGATCTACCAAGGAGGTAGGTGATGTCGGACCTCCGGGCCGGCTGCCGCCTCCTTCTTCTCACTCTCTTCACCTCTTGAGACTCAAATGCCTCGGGCAGCCCTCGGCTGCAACTCATGCTTTCTATTTCGCAATGGGGCAGAAGATCCGATTACAGGGGAAGGCTCTGGGCTATACAGACCAACCTACTTTCCGCCGTAGTGACGCTCAACCGGCACTCGTTCGCTCGACGGCGCCAATCTGTCCGACACTTCATTTCGCGCCAATGGTTCCATTGAACTACCTTCCTCATCTTGATGGATGGGGCATCGACTTGTGGGAGTCTGTTTCACCCAGTTAGGCTACGGGGACTCTATAAAATGTTGAAGATGTGCGGGGGCATCGCGTCCCACTCATTCTGTTCTCCCTGGGATGACCACCGAAACAGCAACTCAGCTTGATCTCCCTGCGGAGTTGGTCCTTCTCATCTTGCGCGGCTTGGGGGTCGCTGATGTATTGAATGTGTCGCGAGTAAGTGGGGCAAGGAGCCTTTGTCCAGCCCTTCTCCTTGCGCTCTACATACCTCAAGGCACTGATCTTTTCCCCCAGAGCTCATCAGCCCTTCGGGCTCTTATACTGTCAAATCCTAGCGCCTGGGTGCACGCTTGCGACGCATACACGCTGCCCCTCCCCGCAGGCGAATCTCCGCGCTCCGTCCCTGCGTCGCTGCTCCCATATTTCGCAGCGCGCGCCGTGTCCATCTCTGCCCTTTTTCGCTCATCCCGATCAACCGCTCCATCTCCTCTGACTATTCTGCATCCCCGCGGCGCGTGGGAGACGCCCGTGCTCGCGAGCGTATGCATCTATTCTCAGCTAGGCACCCTGCCCCCCAACGTCCTCACCGTTCTCCCGGGCGGCCGGACGCTGTTGGTCGGACACATCGGTCCGGGGCGTCCCATGCAACTGGGCGTCTATGGTATCGGTGCGCGCGGCAAGCCAGAGGGCCAATGGCAGTACCTCCTCGTGGATCCGGTGTCCACGCGGTTCGACCCGCCGCAAAAGGGCGGAGATCACGCCGTCGATTGGGCTTCCATACCCGGAGACGCCGACGGCGTGAGGATCGCGGTATTGCAAAATCGCTATGATGAGAAGAGGGATCTACGCTGGTGAGATCGCGCTATACACCCGTTCGTTTGCTTTCGATCTGACAAGCGCTGGAGCTGTGCCGAAGTGTTCCGGCTCGATTTTACTCCAGGCAAAGCCGCCCCACAAGTCCAACGCTCGCACAGCATCGAGCTGCCCTTCTGCGCCGAGGGTATATGCGTGCGCGGCTCCCTTGTGATGGGGTACTCGGCAAACGGGCTAGCGCTGATCGATCTGGACACGATGCGCCGAATTTGTTGGATTGTGGGCGCGAACAGTGAGCACCAGCGCGGGTCTTGGCCCTCCGAAACGATCGCAGCGACGCTCGATCTCTGCACCCGCCGAATAGTTCTCGCCATCAATTCGGGAGCAGTGTGCTGCACGAGAACCGTTTCCTCTCTTCCCATCCCTGATCTCCGCGACGCATGCTGGGGCTCAGACTGGAATTTCTGCGCCCTCGACCTATCGACGCACTGTGACGAAACCACGAGCTGCACGTTGCCAGCGACACCTCTCACGCGGCCCATTGCGCAGACTGGTGCCACGCACCGACTGTTCCACAATGACGAAGGCGAGGTGCAGCTGCTAACGACCTCCCAGGATCGCAGACACGCGTTCGTCTCGGCTCCGAAGTCGGGTGCTCAGAGCAGCACGTGCATGATCACCCAGGACGTGGTGTCCTGTTCGCGCTCGTCGTTCCATCATCTGAGCATCATCGCCACGTCTGCTAGTCCCTCCTCACTCGTGGATGTGTACTTCCCTGGCAGAGATGTCCGCCTCAAGCTCAACCTTTGCTCTGCCGATGTCAGTGTCCCGGAAGGAAGAAACCTCGTGGTAGTGGACGACATTTATGGATTGGCCGTTGTTTGTGCGCGACAGAGGCTGTTTGTATTCCAATATTAGCGACCTCCTGTGCTTGTATCTCTGAATTCAGGTGGTATGTGTGTAGAATGTCCGTTCTAGTTCCATGCTCTACTGCTCTGCACGCCCCGCCATGGCATACAATGTTTCCTTGTCGCCGCTCTCATCGACAAGGGCCCGCAGTTTGCCGTGCGGGTTTTGTAAGAGGACTTTCGGAGAATCAAATTCGACCTGGGCGCTGCGTCAATACCGAGAGCGAGAGCACTCCTTTGTTGACTCACGATGTTGCCCTCGTCCAGCACCATGATCTTATCCGAGTCCAGGATCGTGTGCAACCGATGTGCGACGGTGATGACTGTCACATCGCTTTTGAGCTCGTTCCGCAGCGAGGCCTGGATGATCCCATCCGTCTTGAAGTCGATCGCAGACGTCGCCTCGTCCAGGATGAGCAGCTTGCTCTCCCGGACCATCGCCCGCGCGAGAGCAAGGATCTGGCGCTGCCCAACGGAGAGGTTGGCACCGCCACTAGAGATGGGACTGTCGAGCGTCAGCCGGCCATCGTCCATGTCGTCTTGGAGCGAGAACAATCCCGCCGAGCGCAGCGCAGCGTTGAGCGTAGCGTCGTCGTGTTGCCCGAAGGGGTCCAAATTATATCGCAGACTACCGGAGAGCAATTCCGGCTGGGATCACGTCACATCAACAACAACGCCCTTCCCAAAAAAGAGAGAGCAAACGCACCATCTGCGGAATGATGGTGATATTCGAGCGCAGCGCCTCGAGATTGATGCCCGACGTCGCCATCCCATCGTACACGACATTGCCCTCCGTGAAGATGCACCGCAGCAAAGCCAGCGTCAGCGAGCTCTTTCCGGATCCAGTGCGGCCCACAATTCCGACACGCTCGCCGGCCTTGATGTCGAACGAGATGTCCTTCAGCACCTTCGGTCCATCTGGAGAGTACCGGGCCGACAACTTCTCGACCGCGAGTTCTCCGCTGCTGGGCCAATGCGCCGGCGGTTTACCCGATTCGGTGGCCTTGGGCTCTTGCTCGATTTCGATGTATTGTTGGATACGCTCCAGACTGTTTCCTTGGATCTGCACCTCATTGGTCAAGCGGACCCAGAAGAGGATCCGACCGCTGAATGCCGCGGCCATGTTCAAGCTGAAGCCCACATTGTTCGAACGTTCCTGGCAGTACTGTGAGCAAGAGGGATTCAACTACAGCGTAAAACCGGATTACCTTTTGGTGGTAAACCAGGTAGAGCGCCAAGATGGCACTGAGCATGTTGCCGACCACAGCGAGTCGGATGCCAACCCAACGATCCAGGTTGTTGAGCGTCAGCTGGGCCCGGGTATAGACGTTGATCCGGTTTAGCGACTCATTCACGAAACGTCCCTGAGCATCGTAAGCACGAATCGAGGTCAGGCCGTTGATAGCAGCTCCAAAGCTGGACAAACACCATCAGCACGGAAACAGTGGCCATTTGGATAGCAAAACCCACTGCGCAAGAACGGGTGCCTTCGCATTGCTGCTTTCCCGTTTGACTGAAAGCTGGGCCTTGATGAACAGCTGACCGACCAATCCACCGATGATCGCAGCCCCGATGCCCGGAATCGTAAACAGCGGGGTCAGCAAAACGACCGCGCTGAACGACACGATCATCGACATCGTGACCTGCCAGAACCCAGCAAAGACGTTGAGAATGTCAGAATCGACGGCAGCGATATCCGCAGTAAACCGGGCGATGACACGAGAAGCGGGTGTCTTGTCGAGCCATCGCAGCGTAGTCCCGAGGATAGAGTCCATCAGCTGCAGATCATCATCTACCATTAGCACGGACTAGTAGGAAACGACATGGCGCTTACTTGACGGTGAATCGTTCTGGAAGCTCGCAGGCATGCGAATGCGAAAACAACATCCGCGATGGAGTGTGTGATCACATCCACAGCCAAGATGGAAGAATAAACACCAAGATGGCTGGATGTGATTCAGCAGAGCGACTGGAAGGCCAATAGCACGTGCGACTCACTGAGCCACCGAAACGGTACCCGTAGGACTGGTTTCATACAAGGACGCAAAGTAGCCGAGGTACCACGTCTGGAAGGCCTGCATAATGTGCGACGCGGAAAACAGCCCGAAGAAAGCGATGTAGAAGCCCACGCCGCCCAGTCCAGCAAGGTACAATCCAAGAGCGGAGAACTTGACTTTGCCCAGCTGTACTTCCTCGGCCAGAATCAGCTTCCCATCCGACTTGGCTTTCGACGGCTGATCTTCGACAGGAGCAGGATCGACCACTTCTTCAAGCGCCTGCAGCTCTTGGTTCGCTTCAGCGGCAACCGCAACGTCGTGTTCGATGACCTCCGCAATCGAGCCTTGGCTGGAGATGCGTCCGTTCGACCCAATCGAGACTGTGAAGTCAGCAATGGGAGAAGTCAGCGCAACATTGTGCGTCTGCCAAGCGTCATGAACGTATGAAATGAACTGATATCAATGCCACTTACAACAAGAATAACAGTCCGACCGCGGACCAGAGACCCCGCGAAACACTTTTCCACAATGTGTTTGGAGGTGTGAACGTCCAGAGCCGCAAGGACATCGTCCAGGAGCAGAATTTCAGCCTTGGAGTAGATGGCTCGAGCAAGCGTGCAGCGGGCTTTCTGACCACCGCTTAGAGTCAATCCTGTGTGCGTGTGTAATCATCGGCACGTGCCAACAGGTCAAGGCCCATCGTACCTTTCTCTCCGACTTCACTCTGATCGCCAGCCTCGAAAAGCTCCAGGTCGCGCTCCAGAGCGCACTGATAGAGCACCTGCTTATAGCGCTCTTCGTCGTACTCTGCGCCGAACAGAATGTTGTTGCGGATAGTATCGTTGAGCACCCAGGATTCTTGAGCGGCGTAAGCGACGCCTCCTGCGCGAGGTAGGTTGTACCAAGAGTTGGCCGTCGAGGGCATGAAGTGCATTTCGCCCAACAGAGCCATCAACATACTACATAGAACGCGGTCAGAGAGAACAGAGAGGAACTGCAGGTGACTCACGATGTCTTCCCTGAGCCAGTCGGTCCAAGCTGGATGATGATCAGCTTGAGGGTCTGCTGGATTAGTGACGACTTACGATCAGATTGAAGCATCCTCGCCTGAAAATGAGTTCGTCGTCGATCTGCAGTCTGAATCTTTGCCGAGACGGGGTCAAAGTCCCATCATTCTCCTGGTCATTCGACCAGGCGAAAGTAGCCGCACGGAATCCAAGCTCAGTCGTGTCTGCAGCACCGGCGAGGATCTCCTCAGCCTCAACACTGGCATGATCTCCAGCGAAGGCATCCAAAAGCTCTGTCTGGGAACAGGCGTAAAGTCAGTGTCGGAGCAGCTGGGCGCAAGCTGTCGAACGCACATCGTGCAGATAGTCGTTGATTCGGTCGATAGACACCTTGGCATCAATGAACTGGATCAGCCGGTAGTTGACCATATGCAATTGTTGACGCAAGATATCGAACACGGGCATGGTGCTGAAAACAATAGATGGCCGGAGCTCCTGTTTCATCACGACCGTCTGTCACACGTGAGTAAGCAATCAAGCAGGGAGTCATGTTCGTACACTGAAAGATCAGATCAGTATGGAGCACAGAAGCAGTGGGAAGGCCATACTAGGTGACGTAAGTAGCCAGCATGGTGATAATGGGAATAACATTGCTAAAGAATAATGAGCCCAGCTATTAGCGGCGAAAAGGGCAGACACTGACTTGACGGTATTCGCAACCCACTCGAAAATTTCACGCTTCCAGATCCAAACAAGCTCGTCCTCGCGCTTGACATTGACGCGTTCAAGCATCTTTGATTCCCAGCCAAAGAGTTTGATCATCCGCAGAACGTTCATGGCTGATGGACTATCAGCTGAATTCATTCAACGAGGACTTGTCGACACGTACTTTCAGTGATCGTATTGATACGAGCATCCGCAGCGCGGATCCGATTCTTCTGGATATTTTGGAGGAAGCGGCCAACATAACCCGATGCAGGGAACAGCAAAACCATGACAAACATGCCCACGAAAGAGCTGCGGTCGAGTGAGCTGCCAAGCCACGCACCAAGAGAGACACACACCTCCATCCAAGGACAACGTAGAGGAAGATAATAGCAAACACCACACTCGTCGGCATGTAGAAGAACAAAAGCAGAAAATCGGACATCCGGGTGAGGTTGCGCAGATCCGTTGTGACGAGGTTGCTAATCTTTCCAGTGTCGACGCTGGTCACAGCGGGGCGAGACGCAGCTTTCTTTGCATCCTTGGAGGTCGTGCTGGCATCCCCTTGGGCAGTGGTGCTGCTCGCAACCGACTCGGCGCCGTCCTGGTTGAGCGTCTCGTCGGTCGAAGCTGCATCATCATTCGTCGTATCCTTCGGCCCAGAGTCGGTGTGAGCCTTGACCCGGATCCGGAGAGCGTGCTCGAAGATGAGCTCTGTCAGGAGTCCTTCGACTTGCACCAAGATGCGGTTCTGGGAGCGAGGTCAGTGGACAGATCACGGGGACTGTAGGCAGGTGACAGACAGAAATCCGGTAGTAAGACTGAATGGCTATTGTCCCGGTCATCGGTCCCAAAGCAAGCCATGCGATCCATACGAAAGGCTTGAATGAGGACTCTCCTTGTCCCTTCTCAAGATATCTAGCCGTTGTTGCATCAGTCGAAGGGAAGGAAAGGCATTGATCAAAAAGTTGCTCACGAGAGAACCCGGTTGATGCCAATGGGAGACGCAAACGAACAGCAGACATAGACCACAAGCAACAGCGTCAGCGTAGAATATTCCGATCTATGCAAGGTCAGCACATCCAGGAACGATCAGCGGTATTTGCTGACCGAAAGGTCTTGATGATCCCCCAAAAGATGTGATGATTGCTAGCGCCTGAGAATGTGTCGATGTTCTTCCCATTCAATGCTTTATTTAGCCGGTAGCAACATGACAATGAAGACCCAACGTACCGGAAAGCCCCGTCGCTTCAGAACTTCTGACCGGCTGCTGTCCGCTAAGGGAGGGAACTTGTCCAGGGGAAGATGCGGTAACTTGAACGCTTCCAGGATGACCGGATCCACGAAGTTGAACATCAAAAGGGACCAAAGCGACGCGGTTTGTTCGGGGCTCGGTTGAGTCATCGGAGCCTGTGTGTATGAATAAGAATCAATGTCTCGACCGGAGGGCAGCCGGTGGCGAAGGGTGCGCCGTTGACCACAACCATAGTGAGAAATAGGACGTACGTCGGGGTCAGTAGGAATATACGCTCTCGGTGTGAGCACAGGGATGACAATCGCAGCAAACGAAAGGATTATCAGCTTCGCTGTCAAAATAGAGCCCTCAGCGGCATCCAAGACAGGCCACGAGATCGTGGCTTGAGGGAGCATATCGCGATAGAATAAAGCGGCGAAGGCAGCGAGGAACATGACGTTCAAGTGTGCGCGTGCCGTGGCACCATATCTGGTCGTAACAGCGATGGACGGGAAAGACAGAAGGGTGGTGTAGATCTGGGCAGACGAAGTTACAGTCAATGCAGACTGGGGAAGGGACACCGACTCACGTAGAACACGGCATACCCAACTTGGAATTGCCTCGCTACTCCCTGCAGCACAACTGCCGACGCGGCGGACAACGCGACCAAAGTCGACGACGCGAGCAGACGAAGAACATTATGGATGAGGACAACCGGTCCGCCGTATTTGTCGACGTCCTGCCAGGACTTTTCAGGGGCGTTAGGGCTTTTGAGCCGGCGAAGATATTGCACGGATAGGAGAAGGAGAGAGCCCAAGGCAGCGTAGAGGGGAAAGATTAGTGGATCGGTCCAGAACCTGTAAGATGTGCGGTCAAAATCAGAGGTGCAAACCAGCACATTACGCGACATGTACGTACGAGGCGGGAAGACTGGAAATGCGCGTCGCGCCGGCCAGAACAACTTGCCAATCTGGCGCTGACTGGGACCAAGTGGAAGAAAAGTCCCTCATGGTACCTGGAGGGACCAAGATACAGTGGAGCGCATCGATCTCAAGTTTACAGTGTACTTATAGATGATACCTTGCCGCGGCTCGCTTTCCATGTGGGTTGGTAGCGATCACTGTTTGAGTCATCCGTTTCCCCATCGAGCGAATCTGTCTGATTGGCGGCCCTGACTCAAGATATGATTTTCCCAACCAACCGGAGTCCTGGCACACACGACGGATTCCGTATCAGGGACTCCAGAAGCTGAAGCTCAGAAACCTATAAGGTCGATCATGCACACAAGACGAATTTACGGATCCAAGTTTCGTCGCCAGTACTCAAATCCGGCATGGAAAGTATCAATGACTCACTGATGGGGACACTCCGGGCCGGCAACCGTGTAATCTTATAGAGACACCGGGACGCTGAAAGATCCTAGAATAGGTCGAGCGCGCATGTTCTTGAAAGGAGGTGAATATGGCTCTGTGACTCAGCCTTATCATTTCGAGACTCTCTGCTTTCTTCAAGCAAACTCATAGAATGGGCCTTCGCGACAGAATGGTTCACGCGTTGGTGGTCAGAAATGCACGCTGAAGCTCGGGTTGAACAGTGGAGATATTATACAGATGTGGTTTATGCAATGTAATAAATCATATAACGATATGAGGGTGGCCTGTTCATCAGAAGGAAAACAAGTTGTCCCAAGATGATGGAACAGGGAGCAGGTAGTTCATGTCCAGCGGCTCGTTGAACTCGAATCCAGACACCGGAAAGTCGAAAGGCGCATACTCCGGGGAGATCATCTTCGACGAATCCAAGGAGAAATCCAGGTTGCCCATCCCCAGCCCGCCGTAACAGTCCCCGAAAAACATCTCCGACGGATCCAGCGAGTAATCGAGCGTCGGCGGCTCACATGAAGTGACACCCACACAGTACGCGTCCAACGCAGCCTCGCCCGCGATCCTATCGAGTGATGGATCCATCACAGCCGCGAACAGCTCATCTTGAGTCCGCTGCCCAAACAAGTCCACCGGCTCCGGTGTTTGTGCGAGTGAACTTGGACTCGGGGATGGCGATGCCGAGCTCGACGACGAGACACCCGATCTCGGCGAGAAGGAGGAGAAGGAGGATCCAGCCATCTCTCCTGCCGCGATGTGCTTGTGCTTGTGACGCGACAAGGCAGACGGATCCGCGTACTCCTTGTCGCATGTCGCCAGAGAGCATTTGTACGGCTTGGTCTGCGTGCTAAAGATGCAGATAACCAAGTCAGCATCTCACGATCGCGGAATCAACACGACCACTGACTGCTGAGAGATGTAGTGCGTCTCGAGGTTCGATTTCTGCAGAGACTTGTGACTGCACCCCGGAAACGTGCAGTACTTCATGTACTTGTCCCGCTCTTGCGCAGGCAGATGCTTCGCAATAAAGTGCCGCTCCAGATCGCTCGGCCGCCTGAAGCTCTTGATGCACTCGGTGCACTGATGATCGACACCGCCGCCGTTCTGTGAGGCCGACTCGTCAGTTGATGTGTGTGGAATCCTGGCACCAAGTGAACTCACCACAGGCGACGTGCGGGCACGTGAGATGATGCTGGTCGTGGCCACTCGAGGCATGATAATAGCAAGAAGGCGGGCTTGAGTGGGCGGGGAGAGTGGCTCGGGAATGCGGAATGCACAGATGAGGCGCGTCCTTCTCTCCACACGCGCGGCCCAGCTCTTATACCGTCTACATAGCCGAGAAAAGTGCAAAATCTGTGTCCCAGCCAATCCATCAAAGACCGGTCTTGCAAGTTGCCTTCGAGGGAGAGAGCGATTGGGCCACTCGACGTCAAGCAGAATTGCTTGTAATGGAAAGTGATGGTGAGTGGCTCAAGTGACAAGAGGCGAAACAACTATGTTTGATCCTAACTTTGCAAAAGCTCAGGTAGCTCGCTCAGTCCCTTCCATCACTTTCACACAGCAGAGAGGACATAGCGATGCACATGTTAGCTGAGACTTATCTTCAAAACGTCGATTGAAGCAATAGCTCTTGAGCGGTTGCTGGATGGCGGTCAGGTGCAGCTGATCAATTACTGCAATCAATCAATCCCCTGAGGTCCTGATGTTGTCGATCAGTGGCGATGCATCACCACAAGCACGTAACGTACAGGGAAACGATTGAAATACTAACAGACTGGAGAACATTCGCAGCTTAAACCCGTCATCATCTCTCACGACAGATTGAATTACACAGTTTTGTGCGGATAGATGTAAAATCTCTGTGGCATTGTCGCCCATTTTGTGAATCAGAGGTTGAGCATTCCACATTCACGACTAATACAAATTCCCTATAGCCCAAGATTGGATCGTGTGTACTGGATACATGGCCTCTATGTGGAGAAGAGAGCCTGGTTCTGCATGGTCTGAGTGAACATCTGGAAGGCAGCCTCGCCAACAGCCAGCTTCGAGTTTATGTTCTGCAAAGACATCAGCCGCCATTCTTCCTCGATGCGATCAGACGAAACCGTACCTGGTAAGCAGGGACCTCGTGTCCGGCACCGCTGACACGGACATAAGAGAACGTGGGGGTCGTCTTGAAGAGACCTGCGTTCTTCCCGTTGACGGTGTACGTCTTGAAGGACGCGTTGTTGAATGCAGTGCTGAAGCTGGTCTTCATCGCTGCCAGCATGTCCTCCACACCCTGGTAGTTGACGATGAAATCGGCATCTCCGTTGTAGAGCACGACCCGAACACCCGAGTCGGCGACAGACTCGAGGTTGGGAAGCTGGGATCGCATCCAGTCGCCGGTGTTGGCGAAGTTGAAGTACACATTGTCGTTCGTCATCTGCCAGGTGGACTCGGCGCCGACAGCAGTCTGTACGGAGTTGAGGTAAGACGTGATGTCGGGGGGATAGGGGTCGTTGGTGCCAGAGGGAACGTAGTAAACCTATGCAGTGCGATGAGTACTAGCAAAGAAACAGAGCAGGTGGATGCATACATCGTGGTTTCCAATCAAGGCACTGAGGATGTTGTTGTTGCAGTAGCTCTGAGCATTCGAGCAAACTGTATCGGAACCGCCAGCGTTGCATCTCGTGATCTGCGACTTGCACGATGTCAAAGCAGTGGTGGCTTGTCTGATCGTAGAGGTGGACACCATCTGTCCATATGGGTTGGACGTCGCATAAGAGATGTATCCGGGGTATTGCGAGAGACCGTCGGTCAGCCCATTCCCAATGCCGAGAGTAGTCAGCTTGATGGTGATTCCAGAGATAGTGCCCTTAGCAATGGCCGCGTTCTGGGAAAGGATGTAGGAGGCGAACGCAGGTCCGTAATGGCCGCCGTATCTGCGAGAGTGCCATTTTAGCGTTCATTGGCGCGCGACATGGGTTCTCGTCACGCACGATTCAGTCCAGATAGCGAAGCCATTCGCCACTAGGTGGGAGAAACGAGAGTCCTTCAGGAAGATTTGCATGAAGGTCCACAAGTCCGCCGCAGCCTCAGCGCTCGTTCCGACTGTCTCCGTGCCGTGCGAGAAGCCAGTTCCGACGGGTTGATCGATGTACAACATGTTCACGTTCGTGTTCCATGAAAAAGGGTTGTTGCTGACGGTTCGGCTGTTGTTGGCTATTCTGCACGGTCCGTTTTCTTGCAGCAGACCGATCATAGAGGAGCTACCCGGCTGCAATGTGTGTCATCAGCGGTTGCTGTGGGGTACCGATAAGCAAGAAAACGCACGCCTCCGTTGATCCAGATGGCGAGTGGGGCATTCGAAGCATTGTTCCGCGCGTCAAAGTACCAAAAGAAGATGCTCTCCTGAGCGGTGAGATCTCCGTATCCGGAGGCTTGGTACACGCCCTTGGTCGTCTCTGGTGGGAGACCACAGTCAACCCCCGCCGCCAAACACGCCATGACGAGACTGACCACAGATGCCCGAGTTCTCGACTGTCCGCAGGGTTCCCGGTTTGGTGGCGAACGACACCACTTTCGAGTCCGCTTTCAGGGTCTTGTTGCCCACGCCGCCGATGACGCCGTTGACGACAGGGACCTGGCCGGTAGCCAGCACACCCGACGCGAAGCTGAGAGCCGCAGCGGCGATAGAAAGACGCATCGCAGCGGGAGGGATTGAGAAGAGCTTTAGTTACTTGCTACTGGGGAGCAGCTCAGAATTTATATGCGAAGGAAAGAAGGCATGTGCTCCATGCTTCGGAAGAGAATAAAGCATGGCGTTCTGTGTGTCCCATACGACAAGCTCTGCGATGCGATTCCACCCGTTTGACGAAGCACGGTGTCATCAGAAAGGAAGGCGGAGTAAAGCATGGGTGCCGAGTTCAAATCAAAATTTGCACGCGCCAATGATTGAGTTTTCTGGCTCCCGTAAGATAACGAAGGTCTTGTGAGCGTTTTCAAGATCCGGGAGCATGGCAGGGTGCAGTGGCTTGCAGTGGTCTCTGCGGTCCTTGAGAAGCTACTCGTGCACTATGCAGTATATGCATACTACATGCTTAGTAGCCATGCGCATGCACTGTGAGGTTGATATCAGTGGCGATGTGATTATCATAGAGGTGCTGATGATCGGCGGTTCATGTTCCGATTGTCCTAGGGAGGGCAACACAATTGGGACCAAGATTGAGGAAGATCCGCTCAACATCCTTTTAGGAGGTACGGCTGAAACTACTGTAGAGGTGAAAGCGACCCCAAAATTACAGGCTGATTAACGTTTCGCGCGGATCTTGAGCGCAAGTCTCCGCCTTGCCTATAATTCAATTCGGATATGGCCCCTTGTACCGGGTGATGCGAAAACGGTGATCGTTAGGTCAAGTCCTTGTCTTACAGAATCGAGTATTACATTGAAAGTTTCAATTACATCTGCGAGCTCTACTCCGCACCGGTGAGGGCGATGGCAATCCTGTAATCCCAGTATCTACACGGCAATCAGCGATAGCTCGGTGTTGGAAGGATGCTCACTTTTTCCGAATCGGGTCGTGAACGTCTGCAAGAGATCGCCAGAGCTAGTAAAACGTTTCAACACTGATGGATGGCAACAAACTGCAAGGCACTCACAGCAATTGCCTCGTCAATCTTACCTTCCTCCTCCCGAACATCTGCCAGGAATTCAACCGCAGCAACACAGGGCAGCTGGGCATCCTTTCCAGGTGGAGGATTCTCCAAGTCCACCAAATCTTTTACGTCGGGCGACAAAGGAACCGAATAAGGAAGGACAAAAGTCGCTACGCTTTTGAGCGGCCGTTTAGTGTATTCAAGCACGCCGCGGAGGTAATTCCAAGCTGACGCGTTGTTCGGCGCAAGCGAAATGTTTTGCTTCACGAATCTGTCGTTCAGTGAGATCGAGATGGGTATGGAGGATCGAAAACGGGCACGAACATCAGCTCTCTCCGCAGGACTCGCTCCCGATCTTCATCGCCCTCACGAACGCCCGACTGGAAGACCACAAAGAAGCGATGATGCCAGGCTGAGTTATTCCGCACATCGTTGTTTAGCATGGCATCGACGAAATCGAGCTCGCCTGCCCACAAGGCATCATCTCCACGGGAAGCAAGCAGCCATTGTCGATGCGCCCATGTGTGATAGTTCTTCTCGTCTTGACGAAGAATTTGTGCAATATAGGTGAGCTCCGCTGGGATGTAGATCTGTCCTTGAGGAAGCTGGAGGAGCAGCCGCCGATGGTGCCAGACCTGGTACGTCTTAAGGAACTTGTCTGCGAGTTCGTCCATGAGGGTCATTTCATCCGCGATGGGCAGTTTGAGAGCCGTGAAGGTCTCGTATCGATATTGCCTACGGATAATGCTTAGGGCCATCGCGATCCAATGAAGCATGAAGCAAGGCACCATGCAGAGTAATGCGCGGGATTCAATCGAATAACATGCTCTGTGAGCGCCATCACGCGTTCAGAGCGTTCATCAGCCTGAAGGACTGCGCGCAGGTAGTTGGTAGCGTCCTTGTCTGCCCTGGCGTTTCAGCAGTGCGGATTTGCTTTCGTTCATACTGACATTCGTCCGAGTACAATATAGGGGCGAGGGGGTTGGCTTTCTCAAACTGCTCCAGTGGTACGACATCGTCCCACTCGGGACGCTGAGAATATAGCGTGGGGGACGAGTCCATGACGGTCAATGAAAGAGATGCAGACCCGTTCGATCGTTCCGTGTTTATTGTGTCTGATGTGATCTCAAATTTAATCAATGGTATGTATCGTATTGTTACAAAAGAAAGGGAAGCTAAGCAGCGGTAGTAGTGGCAGGAGGATTCAAGGCGGTGTAGTCCTGAGATGGATGAGCATAAGACAACAAAAAGCAGCGACAAAATTGCACACCTCCATCTCGGCATCCAGATCGGCCGCTGACTTTTGCGGTCTCTCGCCCTTGGCTTTTCCACCTCGGCCACGACGGCCACCCCGACCACGGGCAGGGGCACCACCACTATTGATTCAAAGTTAGGATCGACACACAGATTGAGAGCTAGACACGGACCGCGGTGTCGCCGTTTGAGTCTGGGCTTGAGCTGCTGGGGCTACGCGTGACGCCAGCGGGGCCGGTGGCACGCGCGATGGGTCCATGACGATTTCGATCTTCATGGGTCGTCCTAATAGTGCAAGGGTGGAGCGGAGAAAGAAGCAGAGTTAATCAGCCGTCGGTTCATTGGACGCGCAAAATGGGAAAGGAACGAAAGAAGTATGACACGAAAGTTGGTGGTTACCCGTCGTCGCTGTGCCCTGTCGTCTTGTGTGTCCAGCTGCAACTGATTAGGGGAGTGCTCTCGGTATCACTCGACCTCGGTTTGAGAGCCCAAACCACTTCAATCCAGAGACTCTCGCCACCCTCCACCATGCTCTAGTCAGCACCGTCACGGGTTCGAAGCGATTCCCACAGCGCATGGTGATCAACCCTGCACTCGAGAGGGATCCTCCGGGTGCACTGCCTACGGTTTCCCCACGGAGCGAGGAGAAAACCGATCATGAGCGTGACATCGAGTCCGTTAGCGCGGTCGGGTGATCAAGCCAACAACAACGGCTCTTGCCCGTCTATCTTCTGGCACCGTTTCGACGCAGTAGCCAAACATCAACTCCTCAACGCTCTGCACGCCTTTCAAGTTCATTCCCCAAATCCGGACAACTGACCCATCAGCAAGCCGCAGAGAGTCGCCGACTATGTTGCTGTAGACAGGACAGGGAGCGACGACGAGAACCCTAGGAAGACGACGCGTCGAAAGAGGGGACGAATCGGAGACGAAGATGGGACGATGAAAGGTGAAAGGCTACTAACTGCCATCGATGAGTCGGTTATTGTATTCCTTGAAGGCACGGTTGCCGTCGCCTTTCTTGATGAACTGAACGGTAGCGACTCCTTTGGACCGGCCGTTGGCATCATAGTGGAGGGTGACTTCCCGCAGAGCACCAATGGTTGTGTGGAAAAGTTCCTGCAACTTGATCTGTCTCTGAAAAGAACTGGAGAGGCGTAAGAAATCACCTTGACTTGAGATTCATTCACGTCGGGGGGAAGATTCGACACAATGATCTTCTCAGAGGGAGTGGTAGTGGCCGCCGCAGCAGCAGCTGGTGCGGGACCCTTGGCCTTGGCCGGTGCAGTAGCAGCCTTGCGAGCTTTCGCAGCCGGACTGAGGCCCGTGTTTCCGAGAACTTGAGCGCGAGCCTTGCCGCGGTTGGAGCCACGACGGTCGCCTTTGGGACGAGAGGCGATCATCTATAGTTCACAGTCAATGCCCCGAGCATTGAAGTTAGGACACAAGACATACATCATCAAGAGACATTTCCATGTTGCTAGACATGACTTGAAGGAAAGAGACCGGGCTGTTTGAGGGGAAAGTGCTTGTTGAAGTTGGTGGGCGTGGAGAAGAAACCACACGCGCGACCAACAACAAACGCAAACAAGTAGCACTTGGCGTTTCGCTTCCGCCGCTTGACTTCGTTTTCCTCTACTTGTTCTGCTCAAGATGGGTGGTCGTGGAAGAGGTGGTTGGGGGCGTGGCCGCGGTGCTGTAGCTCCTCCAATGGGGCTGACGCATGCGGACATGCAAAACTTATCTCGTGAAGCGACTGCGATGTATCCTGTGCGACAATAAAAACGCTGTACTGCACTGTTCTCAAGCTCAACATCATGCTCCGCGTAGCCTATGATTCCGCCTATTCTCACGGAACCCACCGACGACGAGAAGCAAATTGCGCGATTCCAGCATGGCTTTGCTAAGCGTTTGCGTCGGTCCAAGTATTATGTTGTTGAGACAGTGAAGACGAATGGTCGGTCGCTTCGTTCTCACAGTACAACTCATCATTTCTTACAGATCTACCACGCTACAGCGATAAATATCGACCGTCAGTTACTAGCCAACCGAAAATGAAGAGAGAGGACCTCCATGCACCGTACTTCCCTCCGGAGATCTTCGAGGACTACTTCAATCCGAAGCGAAAACGAAAGGGTGAAGCATATCCGTATATGCACTGAAGTGTCACTAACAGCTAGGCTAGTCAAGACGAAAGGCGATCCCACAAAGAAACGGATGAACATTGACGATATCGACGAGGACGAAGACGAGAAGGTGTGTTGTAAGGACCCTCAAGCTAATGCGGATCGCTTCATCCACATCTAGGGCGACGGGTCCGATCAGTCGAATGCCGGCTCCCAGGTACCTTCAGATTACGACGGCGACGAAGATTACGGCGACAATGATTACGCCCAAAACTATTTCGACAATGGCGAAGCAGACGATTTTGATAATCTCGACGGGGGAGGTGGTGATGACGGAGGGGCAGGCGAGTGACCGACTTGACGGTATGCTATTTCCAGGCTAACTCCTCATAGGGGATTACGAATAAGGCGTTCCGTCGGGGTCATGTAGAATGTCGAGTCACGCCTCGATTCTCAATCAATGTAAGCTAGCGGACTCAGACCACAAACTCATTGTCGTAGGTGGGAAAATCCCTTCCCAGTCCTCTGCGAATATGTGATAATGCTGCTCTTGACGAGCCCGCCAGCTTCTAAGCCACAAACCTACTCAGAGATGAATTACATGTAGCAATCCCGTACTGTATGTATTCAAGTAACCTGAGATTCTTTCATCGATATCCACCAGTCCGATTTTACTTCATCGTTCAGTGAGGCGCTGGATCAATCAGACCTTCTCACGATCTGGATCTTGCTCCTGACATACCAACTGCTTCAAAAGGCACGCTGTGACGATGGTAGCACCTCTGCCCCCATATCCGCCGGCCGCTGTTCAGAAAGCGCTCTCCCCGGCGCAGCTTTCAACAATCCGACACAATATCCTTGCCGCAGTGTCGGCCACCACCGCTCTCCCCGCCTCCAAACGCGACACCCCAGCCACACGCACTTTCCTTGAAACATACGCAAAAGAACAGGCGCGTGCCGCCCTCGATGGGCTTATATGGGAGGCTCCGATCTCTTCTGACGACCGGCTGATTCGTAAGCGTGTTTTGGCGCTGGCTGCAACCCTCCCGGAGAGTCTTGACCTACGAACGCTCATCGACCTGGCCATCATATACTCACGTTCCAATCGTACAGCCATGTGCGATATACTTGATCGAGGGCTTAGAAAGATTTCGCTGAGTGTGGAGAGCGAGCTGTTGCCTGCGCTCACTTCGTTGCTGGTGGTGTCCGAGGGCCTTTACGTGCTGCGCAAGACAGCCTATTGTGTGGAGGCTTTCCTGCGGGTGTGCCCAAAGGATGTGCTCCGGTTCTTCCGACGATCGAAAGAGTTCGTGGTCTCGCTGGCTACTGCATATGATGCAGGATTGTCCTCCCTTGCCCATTCGTATGGAGGACTTGATATGTCAGATACAAGGGAGATGGACGAGGTGTTTTGTCTTCGCTGCCTTCATGAGGACATAGGGCTGAGGTTAACATTGATCTAGTGGGAGCGCATCTGGATTGCGACCAAGGTCTCGCTCGTGGACGCTTTCCACATCATCCTTCGATCTCAGCTCGACGACATGGCTGCATCCGAGGGTGCTGCTCTCGCCCTGGAAGCGGATCGAACCTTCAACATCATATTCGCATTGCTCGAGCTTCCATCTGGCTCTCAGTCTCAGTCAACGACACCGTTTCTCGATCAGTCCTTGTTGGCCGACTACCAGCAGACTTACAATCTATCCAAGACGCTTGCCGCAGCATTGCGGAACGCAGCAGAAAAAGACGTTAGGCTGGATCTGCTGGAGTCTACGTTGCAGTCATATGGCGATCCGGGACAGGGCAATGCCGGTGCTCTGAAGCTTATCTTGCGCTCATCTGGTGTTCCTCCTGGTGTCGACAATCTCGGTAAAAGTCGCTCCGAAGGGAAAGGGAAAGGGAAAGCACCAGCACCAGCACCTGTGCTCCCCGAGGAAGATCCCCAGCTGCAGAGGAACATTGCACAGGTTTTGGACATTTTGCCCGAACAATCTCCCGACTATGTGCGAGCTCTCTTGCTCCACTCTTCCTACTCCGAGCCCGAGAAAGTCATCGACGCTTTGTTTGAGGGCACGGCACCACCGATGGACCAGCTTACACGCCGTGAAGATGACGATTTGGCAACCTATGTTCGCAGCAACGTTTTTGACGAAGAAGAAATGGATGTCGATCGTTTGCACGTCGGAAAGAAAACTGAGTGAGGCGTCTTCCATGCACTTGGGTGGTTGAACTGACATCGCCTCAGAGATGAGACTAATGTCTTGCGCGACCGCTCTTTTATCGACCGGATGAAAGCCGAAATCCTCCGGCGTGCAGAGGAAATATCCGACGAGGAAGACGAAGACGAAGAACCAGCGACGCAAGTTGCCAAGGGCAAAAAGAAAGAAGTAGACGACGGTGAAGAGCTCGATTCCCATTCTGCGCAGGTCAAAGTCGGAGGAGACGGCGAAGAGAGTGGCGATGAGGACGACGCACAAGACAGCGACGACGAACGTCCGACCGAAAAACTCGCGCCAGAAACGGTCTGCGAATTGGCGTACATCCGCGATCCCAAGCTTTTTGATCGCGACGCTGCCACTCGCCGTAGCAAGGCACGCGCGGATCTACAGAAACAGACGGGCTGGTCTCATGAGCAGCTCGAGGGCTGGAGGACCATGCTCGAACGGGATGTATGTTGTCTTCATCTTGTGCACCTACCGCTGAACTGACAATGGTGGCCCCAGCCGAAGAAAGATAAGATCCTCGCTAAACATGAGTTTGCGGGCAATCAAAATCGCATTCCAGAGGCGATGCTGCAGCCACAATCCTCCAGAAACTCACATTCCGGCGGTAGAGGTCGCGGACGAGGTGCTCCAGGCCGAGGTTCGGCGCCAAATGCTGATGGGTCAGCTCGGGAACGGGCTTGGAAAGATAAGAACAAGGCATCCCGTGGAAACCACAACCGCAAGCGAGGCCACGATAAGAAAATGGCAAGGGCCGGACCAGCATTATGAATGCCCTCCCGGCATTAGAAATATCTGATTCACATCCAAGGAGTAATCTACAGCGACAATGACCAGTGTATCCTGCCCTACCATGTTGGCCATGTACAAAGGCACGTGATCGCGTATATGATCTCTTCCCATCTCCGATCTTCCAGTCTTACCGATCCCCGTTTTCTTGCGTTTTGCTGGTCTCAGTTTGGAAACTCATGGAAAGCTCCACTCTGAACCCGAGGGAAGCAAGGTCTCTGTGCCCAGATCTCGTCCTCATTTTTCCTGTCGTGCTTGGTTCGACGCTAACTGTCCACTGCACCCAGCACTCATGGTGACGACTGCTCAGTGGCAAGTTCTTAAGTGTCAGAGTTAAGACCTGATTTTCTCACGGATGCCTTTTGTCCAACGAGCCACTTGAGCCACTCACCATCACTTTCCATTACAAGCAATTCTGCTTGACGTCGAGTGGCCCAATCGCTCTCTCCCTCGAAGGCAACTTGCAACACCGGTCTTTGATGGATTGGCTGGGACACAGATTTTGCACTTTTCTCGGCTATGAAGACGGTATAAGAGCTGGGCCGCGCGCGTGGAGAGAAGGACGCGCCTCATCTGTGCATTCCGCATTCCCGAGCCACTCTCCCCGCCCACTCAAGCCCGCCTTCTTGCTATTATCATGCCTCGAGTGGCCACGACCAGCATCATCTCACGTGCCCGCACGTCGCCTGTGGTGAGCTCACTTGGCGCCAGGATTCCACACACATCAACTGACGAATCGGCCTCACAGAACGGCGGCGGTGTCGATCATCAGTGCACCGAGTGCATCAAGAGCTTCAGGCGGCCGAGCGATCTGGAGCGACACTTTATTGCGAAGCATCTGCCTGCGCAAGAGCGGGACAAGTACATGAAGTACTGCACGTTTCCGGGGTGCAGTCACAAGTCTCTGCAGAAATCGAACCTCGAGACGCACTACATCTCTCAGCAGTCAGTGGTTGTGTTGATTCCGCGATCGTGAGATGCTGACTTGGTTATCTGCATCTTTAGCACGCAGACCAAGCCGTACAAATGCTCTCTGGCGACGTGCGACAAGGAGTACGCGGATCCGTCTGCCTTGTCGCGTCACAAGCACAAGCACATCGCGGCAGGAGAGATGGCTGGATCCTCCTTCTCCTCCTTCTCGCCGAGATCGGGTGTCTCGTCGTCGAGCTCGGCATCGTCATCCCCGAGTCCAAGTTCACTTCCCCAGACACCGGAGCCGGTGGACTTGTTTGGGCAGCGGACTCAAGATGAGCTGTTCGCGGCTGTGATGGATCCATCACTGGATCGGATTGCGGGCGAGGCTGCGTTGGACGCGCACTGTGTGGGCGTCACTTCATGTGAGCCGCCGACGCTCGATTACTCGCTGGATCCGTCGGAGATGTTTTTCGGGGACTGTTATGGCGGGCTGGGGATGGGCAACCTGGACTTCTCCTTGGATTCGTCGAAGATGATCTCCCCGGAGTATGCGCCTTTCGACTTTCCGGTGTCCGGATTCGAGTTCAACGAGCCGCTGGACATGGACTACCTGCTCCCCGTGCCATCATCTTGGGACAACTTGTTTTCCTTCTGATAGACGGACCACCTCTTCTGCTTATCATTATCTGTATCTATTTACCTTGGGTTTGACGTGCCAGTGCTACAACGTCCGGCATTCTGTATAACGAAGCTAGCGTACTAGAGATTCTCCGCGAACAACACCAACCGACTACGTCGTAGCGACTTTACCGTCAACTTGGCTGGACAGCTTTGCAAAACGTTCCACGGGCATAGCGTGTGGGAAACGAACATTGACACAGACGCCTGAATATCATGCACAGTGGATAGAAGTACAAAATGGGACGAATAAATAGAGCCGGGAGATACACAGGGAGACATCCCGTCACTTTGTTGTGGTGGCAGACGAGAACTTGGTGACCGACTTGGTCTGCAATGACAGTCAGGCAAAGCGCAGCGCTATATGGGATCACACGTACACCCTCAGAGATAGCGTGCTTGGCGAGTTCACCAGGCAGAATCAGCCGAACCGACGTCTGGATCTCGCGCGACGAGATCGTCGACTTCTTCGAATATTGCGCCAGTTCTGTCGTCATAGTTGAGGCACATCGAGCGAGTACGGCGAAGCAGACCACTTACTGGACGCCTCAGAAGCAATCCGCTCGAAGATGTCGTTGACAAACGAGTTCAAAATCGACATCGCCTTGTTCGAGATACCCGTATCGGGATGCACTTGTCTCAACACTGTGGCGAGACGCGTCGTCAGCGAGCGAACCATCAGCAGCAGCGACCATGCCACGCACCCTTGTAGATGTAGGACGAGTAGGTCTCCTTTCTGACCTTCTTGCGCTTCTTCTTCTCGCCATCGCCAGGCGCAGCAGACTTCGTCTTCTTGCCTGCCTTCTTGTCTGTCGTCTTGGACGGAGCCTTGGAGGCAGTGGCCGGGGCCTTGGAGGCTGTAGAGGCAGGGGCTTTGCCAGCAGTTGAAACGGGTTTGGGAGCCATTGCAGATGTAGGTAGAAACGGTTGGATGATTGGGGTTAAGATTTGAAGGGCGAGCGTGGGCGCGCCGTCGATATATACTGACGCGTGACGTTGCTCCTGTTTGGCTACTTTCAACAAACGCGTCCGTTCCCACGAACGCGTTTGTTGATTGATCGGTCTCGGTTACCTTAAAAGCAGCACATACCTCCTTCCCCTACCGCAACTTCCCAAAGTCCCCCACTCATCTTTCATCCCCTCCCACCCAGTCTCTATACACACAATGTCCGGCAAAGTCAGTGGCAAATCCAAGTCCGGCAAGGCGGCGGGCGCCAGCAGCGATTCCAAAGCCCAGTCGCGTTCCTCGAAAGCCGGCCTCCAATTCCCAGTCGGTCGTATCCACCGTCTCCTCAAGAAGGGCAACTACGCTCAGCGTGTCGGTGCTGGTGCTCCTGGTACGTGCTCGAGCACATCTTGCGTTGTTTTGGCCAACGCGTGTTGCAGTGTACCTCGCCGCGGTCCTTGAATACCTTGCTGCGGAGATTCTTGAGCTCGCTGGCAACGCTGCTCGCGACAACAAGAAGCACCGTATTGTTCCTCGTCACCTTCAGCTTGCCATCCGGAACGATGAAGAGTTGGGCAAGGTTTGTCGAACTTGTGCACGCTGGTTGTAGAGGCTGATTCGTTGGCAGTTGCTCGGTTCCGTCGTCATCTCCCAGGGAGGTGTTGTTCCCCATATCGACCCTTCCTTGCTTCCCACAGCAACGAAAAGTTCGTGTATTCTTCTCATCCGTCACTTGCCGCTGACATTCCCTCCAGAGGGCAAGGCTCAGGCCGAAGACTAAGACTTGTACCGTTTCCTCAGCATCACTATTGCGTCTGTATTTATCATCCACTTGTATTCTCTTATCGATTTATGATAATCGACCGCATTTCGATCCGATCTACCATCCATCCCTATCTCGACAGGAGAAATCAGGCGTACGCTTGCTCGTTGAAGCCCGGCAAGATGACCGCAGTACCATGGTCCTCCTTCTGGTTTTGCGCCGTTGTTCGTTGCCACTTCTGCTTCGCAAACGTCCAATCTGCTCGCGATCAGCACGGACATGAGTAGCATTGACACGCTCCTGACTTGCCTTCCATCGTGGGCACAGGGTTGCCGGTCTTTTCGAAGCCGTTCTGCGTGTAGCCGGCCTCCTTCAAAACCGGGGACTCTTGTATCGTGGCCAGCTTTACATCATTGTGCGGGCGAGAGAAGTACAGCAGACCCAGGCGGTCGACATGTTGTTGATCCTTTGGCGGAATGGTTACGCGATGGATGGTGCTTCGGACATACCCGCCCGTCAGGAACTGTAACGCGTCACAAGCGTTCACGGTTAATGTCGCATCCTGCGGTTTGACCCATTTCCACTCGTCGTGCACGGGATCGCGGATCTGCAGGGCCGCCACAGGCTGGCGGAAGAGCAGTGTGAAGGAGCCGAGGTCGGTGTGACCATAGACCCAATTCGTCAGTCTGGCATTGACTTCGGGTGGATACTTTTGGTATCTCATGTAGCGAAGGTGGTCCTGAATCATCGCGGTGAGCACGACAATAAACGATCTGCGCGGAACTGACTTCGCTCTTGACAGGATATTGGTGGAGCTTGGTGAAGTAGTCTTCAGGCAACTCCAAAGCTATGGCGAGCAAAACAAATAGCGGGTCTAGCACCTCGGTGTGCAGTGCCTGTTCGTCGTTGAGTCGCCATGCGTCAGCACTTTATCGGACGCACTCGGGAAAACTCTTCAATCTCCTCCAATCTCTGGGCGACGACTTGTGGGTGTTTGTGCTCGAAATAACCGTTGAACTCTACACGGACCATTTCATTCGGTGATCCCGGTCATCCTGCGATCAGAAACGTACTGGGAATGTTATAGATTTCGACCTGGTCCTTGATAGTACGCTCGGGATCGATGAAACGACGTCCAGCGGGGACATATCCGTTGAACTTGCCCTGGTCTAGACGCCGTCAGCGTCGCTGTTCACATCCAGATGACCCGCAGACTCACCCAAGCCGTCCGGCACATATTGCAACCTCTCCTCGACAGGCAGCTCGTAGAAAGACTTGCCGATGGCGAACTGACGGTTCACGCGTTCCTGCGAGATCCCAAAGTTCTTCACGTAGAAGAAGCCTTTCTCGCGGAGTGCGCGGATGAGGATATCTGCTTGTGCCTTTTTGCCCTCTGGAGTAGACAGCTGGCTCAAGTCAACGGTTGGGAGCTCAGCCCAATCCAGCGATTCCTGGGAAATGACGTCAGGGGGGAAGTTCCGGGCAGTTGATATGTGAGCCGACCTTTGTCTCTGCAACATAGTTGTAAGAGCCGAGTTCTGGGACGGGGACAGGCATGTTTGACAGATATTGCGGAATCGTGTCTGTCATACATTCTTATATAGCCCTGGCTTGGTAATTCCCGGTGCACGCCATTGCGCAAGGTTCGATTCGGATTTGTGAGAAAGCCCTCATCTGGCTTCTTCATGGCGCTATCGTTCCTTGTACCGGGATCCTGTGACCTGAAGCGGTTGATGGAGCAGTTCCCTAATACCATTCAATAAATATGGCGTCTTTTGGGAGCTGGATGACGTTTGGGTGAAAATGTGATAGACGCATTCTGATATAATGGCTACTGCAAGTTCACATCTCGAACGAGCTCTCCCCAGGTGTCTAGATAAGAGGTCATGAGCCGACATTTCTTTCGCACATCGTCTTCAGCGTCTGGACCCAGAACAAGGTATGTCGGCCACGGCTTCCCCTTGGCTCTGCCTTGGCCCTTGACCACATCGACGAGCGCCGACATTCCTTTATCTGGATCCCCGCTTTGCGAACCGTTGAGAGCAGCATATGATTGGTAGTTCTTTTCTCTTGATTCGTTGTACGCCGGGATCGGGTTGCTCATATCGTGATTCTGGTCGACGCGAACGACATCCGTCCTGAAAGAGCCTGGCTCGACCAGTAACATCCGGATGTTAAATGGCTTTAGCTCCACAGAGAGCGTGCCGGTCAAAGCTCTGACTGCCGCTTTGGAGCTCGCGTATGCGCCTGGGAACGGTCAACAAGTGTTCCGTTGATATCAGGATCGATGGATCAGCATTACCTAGACCCTGCAATCGAATGAGCGATCAATCAATCAGAGCACGACTCGACTTACAGTGACCTCCGGTCTCCAAGCGGATCGACTGCCAACGATGACGATTGTCCCTCCACCTTGAGCTCGAAGATGTGGCAAACACGCATTGGTTACGTCCATAAGACCAAACACGTTTGCCTCATACTGCCTCCGCATCAGCGTTGATCTAGAGGCGATCAGAGGGTGAGATGATGGGATGCGGGTGCTCGCACCCTCCCTCCTCCAAGAAGCCAGTGATGAGGGTGCCAGCGTTGTTGACCAGCACGTCTATTCTGCCCCAGAGAGCGACTGCATCACGGAATGTCGATCTAACCAACCGTCAGTCTCCGAGGCGGAACAGCGAATCAGCGCACTCACTCCAGCGCGTCGAATCCAGCTGTTACATCCAGCTTCAGAACCTTGAGGTTCTCGCTCGTCCCCTCCAAGTCCATCACCCCATCCAAAGACCGCGAGGTGGCGATGACACGGTCGCCCCGTGCGAGCACTTGGCCCACCAGGCTACGTCCCAAACCAGACGAAGTCCCTAATGCTGTCATCATCGAGTGTCCCTGCAAGAAAGGCCAGCAGTACCTGTGATGAGCCAGACTAGAGGCGCGGAGGCGCCCTCTCCAGAGCGATCCGGGACAGCTTCCGGCCAGAGCATGTTTGAAAGAAACTGAGTAGACATTGCTTTTCGGGAGATCGCGGCAGAATGGGTACTTGAGAACCCAGCCACGGACGGTCGTCGTTTTCTAGTCGGTAGCTGACAAACCCATATGCGGTACCATCACAGCGCGGGAGGAAATGGAGACGTCAAGCATTTTTTCCAAGCCGCGGAGCACGAGAACCAAGACTGCACACGAATCGGAGGCGTCAGCAAGAAATTACAGCCAGCAGCATGTCAACGAATGACACGGCGCACCCCGTCTTCGAAATCCTTTTCATGCGAGTGACAGATAGTGATCATATCGAGTGCATTACAGATCTTATTTGCGCTACACCGATCAACTTGGGAACACATGCGATGACTAAATGACTCGCCTGAGTTCTCTTGCGGAGATTCTGCAGTCGACAACAGATTTGGAAATATCGCAATGTGTGGTCAGCATTACCAATGAGCCCTCGGAGTCATAGAGACCGTCTCAGTCGCCACCAGTAATTGATTCCCGCGCTGTAATGTTAAAATCTAATTGTCGAACCGTTTGGGTCGGTACGTTTTCTTCGGTTAACAGAATATGTCTGGCCTGGCCTGGCCTGGTCTGGTACGGTCCGGTCTACATAGCGAGCGGACCGATCCTTCAACGAGTACTTGCGTGCGAGCATCCTCTTGATAGCCTAGTGGAGCCAGGAAGACCGCCTAGAAGCCCAGAGTCGCACGCAGCCGTTTATCCGAGTTCGTCGTAACCATGCATGCAACATGGATGATTTGCGTCTGGCGGAGAGTTCCGTACCGATGTGGCGCCAGTATGTTCTTTCGTGAGTGGTGGAGATAACCTAGACTACAATCAAGCGCAAGAGAGGGTCTCCCTTCGAGTGTGCGCTCCTCCTTGGCGGAGGTACGATCCCGTCGGTCCCGACAATGGTCCGAAATTCGGTTGCGGAACCGTTCAATGTGGACTTGTTCTGGACAACATTGGAAGAGTGAAAAGTCCGGAGTGTAGATCCCTTCGAACTTATTTCGTACAGCCAGCCAGTGACGCAACGAGTATTTTTGTCGCCAGTGTTGGCGTCTGATCGACTTGCTTCTAAGTTGCGTGGCATAATCCACATGTCTTCCGATACGCGATACCTATGCGGGATGAATCGGTTCGAACAGAAGGAACTTGCTGTATGTAATGGTCAGTCACGCGTCACAATCGGCGACCGCCGACGGAGAAGGAGAATCGACTGTGTCACAGGTCACGCCTCCCCGACGAAATGAGCTGACTTCACAATTGTCTCCAATTGAGACCCACGTTGGACGAAAGTTTCCTTTGATTTACACGTCATGGGGCCGCCAATATCGGGCACCTGGGTTGCGCGGACGCGAAGCCTCGGTGTCCCAGTGTAGAGTTTCAAAAATTGTCAAAAACTGCCTGTGATAGAAGAGAGAAAAACTAAATAAATCACCCTAAACCACCTCGCCAAGAAGTCAGTCACCCCGCTCACATAAATCGATGCGCCTGATGCGCCATCAAAAACGCCCAGTTACCCAAATTGGTCCGCAAAGGAGGTCACAACTCGGAGCATCTGAGATGCAAATTCATGCATGCTGAATTGAGAATTATTATCTGAGTTACCCCCGGCCAAAGCTCGAAATTTCGCAAGGTGCTGTTTCTCGCTTCAGTGACCTGGGTTGCCTTAAACAGCACGCCGATCGGATTCCACATCCGAAAGTCCGGCTTGCAAGTTCCAAAATTTCGTCAGCGAAGCAGAGGGAAACAAGCCATCTCCTTCCATGCTCTGATTACACCTGTCACGTCGTCCACATCTTACCGAGGTGCCTGGCTACCGTCGTCCATTAGGGTCAAGGTCTGTTTTAGGAAAGTGTGATCATGATTCGATGTTGGGGTCCAACCAGTGATCTCCAGTCACACCGTGACCCCTCCCTGATGTGTCATTCGGCGTTGCTCATCGCCCTCGCCATCTCTTCATCTCGTCGTTATCTCTCGCGTCGCGCTTGGACCGGTGCACTCCGTGGGTTCTTTGCATGTACAGTGCGCAAAGGCACCTCTCTTTAATAGTGATTTGATGAAAATAAATTTTTGTACATTTTTGTAGTTTTTTATAGGAAGGAAACGCCCAAATGAACGCGACCACAAAACTCATTTTCCCCACGGTGTGTCACTTGTTCGGCGATCGGAATTCCAAAATGTACCTCCGCGGATTGATTTGGATCGCTTGAAACAGCAGGCGGCTGTTCGTAGGAAGGCCACACAGCGTGGGGCAGAGATATCTGTTGTCAATCCTGATGCGGAGAGTCTGGTCAATGATCCAAGCTAAGTACAATCCGGATCCCAGCCAATACATAGCGCAAATGAACCGGAGACTACCGGAGATCATTGCACGTGCCAACAAGGCTGTGCTTAGCCCTACCTGAAATGATAGTTGACTCGACCATTAGGGTTTGTGTCCCTTGTTCGCATGCAAATTTCACGTGCTTCATACGTTGCACTCCAATAATCGCCGTACAACAGGAAAAAACTGGCTCTGCAGTCTGAAAGCACTAGAAGCCGCTATCGCCATCAACGACGACGACAACACTTACTATACCGAAATATCACCCGATATCACCTTACTAAGCAGATATGAGGCATATGGTCACGGAGTGCCAGGACCCCCAGCACTTAGTCAGATCCTGGCATCAAGATAGACCTTGACCCTAATGGACGACGGTAGCCTGGCAGACACAGGCCCAGACCATTATGAGCCAGAGTCGGACCTTCATGGGACAGACAGCGTGATATGTACTTTCTACGAATGAATTCTCAGGCCTCATTCTTGTGGGGACAATCTGGCCCCCAACGCTGCCAGAGGAATGATTATCGGAACGGGAATCAAAGGCCTATGCTCCTTCTTAACATTCATCCGGTACCCGACGTTGCCAGTGCCTGTATGCCGTTGTCTCATCGCTTCCTGCGCGCCCTGTCCGCCGCATGCCGCGTGTGACTGTCGAATCGCACGACTCCCCTGCACCCCAAGCGGCCGCCTGCTGGTTGCCAATGACATCTCTTCTGCCCTCTAGCCCGTCGGATCTTACACAGTGATCCACGTGTTGTCTCAGTCTTGCTATGCGGCATCTTGGGTGGAATCCAGGAAGCGATATGCGATCGATTGCAAGTCTTGGAATCATCTTTCGCGTCGCTTCCCCTCGCCATGGAAGTCGATCAGCACCCGGGCAGGCTCAACTCTGCAGTAAAGAATCATCGGAACCAGGACTGAATCTGAAGAGGTCTCGACGGGCATCGAGCCAGGAAAACGGTGGGGGTAGAGAGATACCAGGCGAAGAAGGAGGGACGGAGGATCTCAGTGGACTGAGATGCATTCTAGTGGACAGATCCCTCAACTGAAATCGCCCGTCGAGACGGTGAGCGTGCTGCTTCCCTCGGCGGATGGCGCGAGCAATTGCAAGCGTGTAGAGGAGGACTTGGTCGACCCGGAATGTCTTGTTAACCAAGGGACCCGCTTTCACGAGAACGTGCGCGCGTTGACCATCGGTCCAGCTCTGCGCGCATATATATCAACCGTCAGGTCAATTGAATTGTCCCCAGTACGCACCAGAATCATTACTGGAGTCCAGATCTCTTTTAGCGGGATGCCAGCAAGCGTGCCGCGGACCGGAAGATGAGCGTATACGCAATGCTGGAATCGCATCAGCGATGCAGTGGGACATGAATAACTGGAAGATTTACCGCTGTCTTATTTCGGGCTTTGCATCGCTCAGGGTTCAATGCATGGTCGATCTCCTCCGTGATAGCACAGATCTCGCCCAGAAACTGGGTGAAGTGCTGGACGAGCTCGACGCCTTCTCATTCGAAACCCGCACCCAATATGCACGACCCCAGCCGCCAGTCTGGACACTGCGATCAGTAATCTATAGTATATGCAGTGCACGTGAACGACTGACCGCGCGTCGGATATAAATCAAGGAGAGGACCATCGCCATCTGCCAGCCCGTCCATCTTGGATTGTGCTGGTCATCGATGAATCGGCGGACCTTGACGATCTGACTGGCCTGTTCCGCTCGGAAGTCAGTCACTGACACAAACAAAGCCGCGACCGACAGAACTTGTAAACAACACGATCACTCTCGTCCAAGTTGACAGCGCGAGATCCGAGCGGCGGCAGAGTCTGCGATAGAACCGTAAGTTGCAGGTGAGGAGGTCGGGGACGCAGAACGGCCCGCCGCCGATGTCTCCCAAGTAGGCACTGCGATCGCGGAGGGACATGGCAGCATAGGGGACAGTGTCCACCAATGGCAGCCGAGCACCGTGCGCACGCCTTTCGCGCATTCCTGGAGGATGCCGTTGAGCCTCAAAGGGAGCAGGATCTCGGATGGGATATCCCGGCGGCGGGGACTCGATCGAGCGAGTTCCGACGTTGTGTTTCGGATGCAACGAAAGCCATGCGAGCAGGGATGGTGAGAGCGAAGGAAGGGGGCGGGACGAAAGAAGCGCAAAACCGGCGCGAAAACGACGAGTGACTGGTGGGTCATACTCATGTTGATATGCCTTTTATCAGCAGGATTATCATGGCCATATCGCACAAACAAAGCGTGATCTGCGGTGTCGGATGTGCAAAGGTGAACGGTAAAGAACAAAACGAGGACAAGGGCAGATGATCAGAATCTGAGAAGACACAAACAAATGTAGCATTCGCGTCATGGAACCGCGCTTTTCTAGTCTGATGCAGCCTGATAGGTCCTGGTAACACAGATGGGACCCACAGAATGTTGCTTGACCGTATGTGCTCCATGCCAATTTCTCCGGGGTCTCTTCCCGCCGATCATTTCTGAAAACCCAGAACCATCCTGCATTGTAAGCGATTATCTTCGCACGAAATGTATAAAGAAGCTGGGCCATCCGCAAAGAGGACAAGAGCGGGGGGCGCAGTTCTAGAGTACGCGGTGTAGAAAGTCGGTGCAATTCCCTTTCCATATATGTATCCCCATGTGGATGTCAGGCTGACCTGTGGGTCCTTGCGTACTAGCGTGAAGATGCAAGGACAGTGACCGCCGCAATTGAAATGTCGACCACATCCACGGGGATTGCCACGCATGCCGACATACTCCAGCGGACTACCGTCGTCCATAAGGGTCAAGGTCTGTTTTAGGAAAGTGCGATCATGATCCAATGCTGGGGTCCAGTGAGTGATCTCCAGTCACACCGAGGCCCCTCCTCGGTGTGTCATTCGTTGTTAGTCATCGCCTGGTTATCTCTTCATCCCATCGTTATTTGTCGCGTCGCGCTTGGACCAGCGCGCTCTATGTGTTCTTTGTGTGTACGGCTACAACCTCTCATTCATATATATCCCAGTTAAATATGTACACACCCTCTGTGCTCGAACCCAATGAGAATTTTACAACTCTTATTACCCCTCCGTAAAACACGACCCTATCACTTTTCAAGGGCAAGGTCTGATTTACCCACGGAAGAACGCGAAGACCCCTGCACCGACTCTCCCCCTCCTCCACAGACGATGGGCCATTGCGATGGCTGCTCAAGCGCTCACAGCTTGCCCGCCGTATCAAGCGCTCAACGACAAGGGTGTCAAGAACCCCAAACCGGTCTTTTTGACGCGCGACAAGTCAAACTCACGTCATGACCTCAGATTAGCCGACAGGCAATGCTTTTTCCTCTAAAGCATTGGTCCTAGGATCTCTCAACATACTAATATTTACTGTACAATGAAAAAAAAAATCACTCTGCAGCGCGAAATTACTAGAAGCCGTCGTTGCCATCGACGACGACGGCGCTCACTGTACCGAAAAATGTCTCCCGATATCACCTCAGTAAGCAGATATGAGGCATAGGGTCACGGAGTGCCAGGACCCCCAGCACTTAGTAAATTTCCATCATCAAGATAGACCTTGACCCTTATGGACGACGGTAGCGGACGCAATGGGAAGCGAAAGTCTCTAGAATTGAGTCTGTCAGTTTGACTTTCTAAGAGGTGATCGACAAAGAGAATTCTGCATCGAAGCGGCTATCAGAGGTGTGCAGGATAGAGCGTAAGCGAACACGGGTAGGGTTCCATCAAATTTAGCCAGAGTTTAACAAGAATACCGAACCAGGCATATCGGACATATCCCTCAGGGCCGGAAGGGTTATGAATAAGGAAACGATATTGGCTCTGGTTAGTGGCATTTTTCTAGAACGAACAACTGAGATGTTCTGGAGCACGATACGGGCAGCTGGTGAGCGTATACAGAGTGACGCACATTATTTCATAGGTCAGAACGATAGTTTACAAGATTGAGTACTGATTCCACTCAGAGGCAGGTACAACTCTTTGACATGGAACCTCGCAGCTTCAGGCCCAGTCCCAGCCAAGTTTCAGCAGGCCCAGATTCTGGGCATGAGTCTCCATGCATGGTGTATCTGGTTTTATGTGACCAAACTCCTCCATGGCAGGCGACGGAATGCTGCGCGCACCGTCTGAGCATTCTAGCTATCATCGATATGAAGATCCCCGGATCTGCAGGCGACTCGGCAGAGACATCCTGAGATCATCTTACGCACTCAAGCCATTCAGCAGAGAAATCTACCGGGAACTTAAACCGTTAGTCCTGACGACGATAATGATGCAGATAGTGTACACAATGTACGTGATAGATACAAGAGGCAGGGGAGGAGTTCATTTCGTGGTGGTGGCAGACGAGAACTTGGTGACCGACTTGGTCTGTAACCGACAATTAGATCAAAGCGCAGCACTATTCGGGATCACACGTACACCCTCAGAGATAGCGTGCTTGGCGAGTTCACCAGGCAGAATCAGCCGAACCGACGTCTGGATCTCGCGCGACGAGATCGTCGACTTCTTCGAGTATTGCGCCAGTTCTGTTGTCATTGTTGAGGCACATCGAGCGAGTACGGCGACGCAGACCACTTACTGGACGCCTCAGAAGCAATGCGCTCAAAGATGTCGTTGACAAACGAGTTCAAAATCGACATCGCCTTGTTCGAGATACCCGTGTCGGGGTGCACTTGTCTCAACACTGTGGCGAGACGCGTCGTCAGCGAGCGAACCATCAGCAGCAGCGACTATGCCACGCACCCTTGTAGATGTAGGACGAGTAGGTCTCCTTTCTGACCTTCTTGCGCTTCTTCTTCTCGCCATCGCCGGGCGCAGCAGACTTCGTCTTCTTGCCTGCCTTCTTGTCTGTCGTCTTGGACGGAGCCTTGGAGGCAGTGGCCGGGGCCTTGGAGGCTGTAGAGGCAGGGGCTTTGCCAGCAGTAGACACGGGTTTGGGAGCCATAGAGGTAGAGGTAGGCGGAGGTGGTGGTGGTCTGAGAGAGAGTAAGATATGTCACACTTGGTCACTTTCACGCTCTGGTAAACAAACGCGTCGCGCTGATGTTGTTCTTTGTTTACACCGTTCGCATAAATACACAGTCAGTCACGACATCCACTCCTTGTTCCTCAACCCCCACCATCCCTGCCTGAACTTCATCCTCCTTTCTCGCCCACCTCTATCCTCTCACCAATGTCTGGCAAAGTCAGTGGCAAATCCAAGTCCGGCAAGGCGGCTGGCGCCAGCAGCGATTCCAAAGCCCAGTCGCGTTCCTCGAAAGCCGGCCTCCAATTCCCAGTCGGTCGTATCCACCGTCTCCTCAAGAAGGGCAACTACGCTCAGCGTGTCGGTGCTGGTGCTCCTGGTACGTGCTCGAGCACATCTTGCGTTGTTTTGGCCAACGCGTGTTGCAGTGTACCTCGCCGCGGTCCTTGAATACCTTGCTGCGGAGATTCTTGAGCTCGCTGGCAACGCTGCTCGCGACAACAAGAAGCACCGTATTGTTCCTCGTCACCTTCAGCTTGCCATCCGGAACGATGAAGAGTTGGGCAAGGTTTGTCGAACTTGTGCACGCTGGTTGTAGAGGCTGATTCGTTGGCAGTTGCTCGGTTCCGTCGTCATCTCCCAGGGAGGTGTTGTTCCCCATATCGACCCTTCTCTATTGCCCACGGCCACAAAAAGTGAGTGTCGATTTGGCTTTGACATTACACCGAATAACAATACTTTTTCTTCCAGAGGGCAAGGGCGTAGCAAGCCAGGAACTTTGAGCTTGCGTCATGTTCCATTTTGTTTCAGTGTATCAATGTATCATCAAATTATCATTATAACTACATGCAATACCAGCCTAGGTCCTCAGTCAACAATCCACTTTTGAATTGTTATCAGCATGTTCAAACAAACAGGTCATCACAGACTCGCAGGGGCTTCGCCGCCATTCCTGCCTCCACTACATATCCCCCATCGCCCATCCTTGCACATGTGGCTTAGGCGTACAAAGTCTTTGTCTGTCTTTGCCCATTTACGCCTCTCTCGACAGCCCTCCCTAATATGCAAACACCTCCTTGTTACCGAGAGTCGTTCTCAGCTGTAATCCTCGGATCAGCATCGACTTCCTTTTTGCGTGCCATGGAACGTCCACTAGGCCAAGTGCTGTTGAGATCAAGTGCTGTTGAGCCCGATTCGTGGCATCTAGGCTGGCAACGACCTCGTGTTAGCCTGAGATCTAGCGGCCATTCTAAGCCATGTACGGTGGATCCCAATGGTATTTCGCTAATCCGTAGGCGCTCTCCTCCGTGCTCTTCATTGTCTGATAGATTGAACCAGTGATTCCACCAGGTATATTGACGAAGGATCAGTAGCAACGATTGTTGACGATAGGGCAGCCACGACCGTGGGGTACCAGCCGGTTATGTGACTCCAAATGGTTCACCATGGGAGCAGAGCCAGCACAGCCCATGGCCTCAAGCGTCGCCACTCAGGATGGGATGGGCACCTAGAGGTTATCCATACACTCCATACACTGATCCTATGGTGCGGGAGGATCTGTACCCGACTCCAATGGACTTCGTGAGACCCGAAATTACACCCCAACAGTGTGAGCGCGGTTCCTCCATACCTGTTACTCCCCTTACTTACTCAGAAAGATCAACACGCGCTCAGGCTGGCGTCGGCACCACCCGCACCCGCACCCGCACCTTCTACTCCTTCGTGGGGTGTTCAACATCCGCCGTTATATCATCGTTCGCACTCGCCGTGGATTGCTCCAGCCACCTCGTCGATGAACGAGCCTGTCGTGATTTCAAGATCCTATCCGTATCACGCCAAAAATCTGTCACCCATACCTCCCGACTGGCGGGATGATTTTGGTAAGGATGAGATGAAAGGGTGGCTGAAGCGACGAGCATGTGCGTTCAAGTTTGAACAGTATGTTGTTGAAGGTCGCGACTAATTCTGAGCGCAGCAAGAAGCAGGCTGGATCAACATCTGGAGCCCAGCGAGCTAAATTATATGATCAACATGACTCCTTCCAACAAGTTCAAGCATGGGTTGGTCGCACTCGATTTGCGTGACAGCGGCAACCCTCCTGCTGTTGACTTCTTGCAACATGGCCTATCCACCGAGTTCGCTATGCAGCAACTGGCCACAACCTTCCCTGTGAACCATCTTCGATTCTACCATGTCAAACTTCCATGGTACATCGACGTCTGGGCCCAGCAGAGCCATGGTATTACCATCAACGATGTCCTCTCCCAGCTCATGCGGCACCTACACCAATGCGTCAGGCTGGAAGACTTCTATAACTCTGCTTTGGATTCGAACAAACGGGAGGACATGTCGGACAGCTATCGTGCACGATGCGGGGATGATATCTCTCTCTTGCAGCATGGACTGCTGCGCGTCGATTTTTTAGGCGACGATTGCATCTTACAAGGTTTTCAGCGTGGTAAGAATGGAATGTGGGTCATCAAGACAACTACGTATTAGTCCTGAGCATCTTCGCCTCGCACACTTGAGACAATTATGTTTACACTGTTGTATGTACGAAGTTATTTCGAGGTCGCTCGCGTATTCTTGGAAATCTATCACCTGTAGATCAGGGGCGCAAGTTGTGGGTCATGCATGCCGCCCTGATCGCAAACGGCGAGACCATTCTGGTCCTCACCCACTTCCATGGCTACTCTAACGAGAGAGGCCCCCACTCGACAGGCAACCGCATCCTCCCCATTGACCTCATCCATTCCTTCTCCCTTTCCCCGCGACTTGCTCCTGCATGAATCGACAGAAAATAGTACCTCTGAGGAAGAGGCAGGGCCATCTCGTACGTTGCCTGCTCTCGAGTCAAGCTCGGCCGTAGCCATGGTATGTCCCTCGACAATGTTCACTCGCGATGAAAACCCTTACTCTTTGCTTAGCAAGAACTTCTACCATCTATCGCCGACGTCGAGAAGACTTGTATAATGACCCTCAACGACCTGCTCTCGGGAAAGTCGAGGTGGAATCCCATCGTTCCTGACCGCAGACACTCTATGCCCTCTGCGACAGCCTCCTCTACCCCACAATCGGAATACTTATCTTCTTCCGCCCTCCAGACACTCGTTTCCAACCTGCGCGGCCGAGATCCCCCTGACATCATGGTGGAAGTACGAGGCAGTGGAGAGCCTGCGAATCTCTTGCACGAACTGCGGACTAGAATTGAAGAGATGTCACACGAGCTCAGCCCGTCGGATTCTCACCTCGCAGAGGCGATCGTCTCCCTGCTGTCCCACTTCCACCGACTGTCAGCCATCTCTTCCTCCGATCCGAACGTGCGACAGACGGCCCTCGAGGGAGAAGCACCTCTCTATCCCCCAGGAGATCTTTTCGACACGCTCAAGCGGCAACTCAGTGACTTACGCAGCGAACGGCAAACCTCTCAGTCTGGGACTGTACCTCCAAACACACCGCCTGTATTTGCTGTAGAGAAGACACTACTGTGGTCAAGAATAGACGAGGAGCTAGAGGCGGTGGTCGCTATGTGCAAGGAACGCGCGGAATATCTGCCTCCTCAGTACGATTCCCCGGATTACGAAGATATCGACGACGACGAACATCTACCCAAGTACGAGGGTTCGGAAATAAGCGATCTCAAAGAAAAGCATGCGTCGGTTCAGTCCTCGATGATGACGGGGAACGAGAAGATGCGGCTCGATTTCGAAGCGGTGACGATGGCCATCGACCGTCTGTATCTGGTCGCACCGCAGCTTCACAGCCAACGTGTAGAGCTCAAGACCTCGAAGCTGGAGCAGATGGAGAAGGCCAGAAAGCAAGGGAGCGCGGTTTCTCGGGGGAAACAGAAGGAGAACGACACTCGGGATTTGGAGAACATGTTTGAGCTTATTGGGAGAGCTTCCGAGCGAACACTTAAAGATCAATCAGTTATCCTTGAGGGTGGGATGAAGAGTCGTCTAGAACGCGCTCGACAGCGAGATGTCGCGAAGGTGCGTATGGCTCCAGTCGACTTGGATGAAGCTCATCCTACGCAGCGTGAAGCATTCGTTGAGCATCTCGCAGACTACTCTGATGCTGGCAGATTTCATCAGCAGGATGCTGTCCTGAATCCAAATCCGTCTCGAATGAAGAATCCGGAAGCTATGCTTAGCTTACCTGAGTTCATTCGCGAGGCCATACCGGACAGTGTGCGGCTTAACGATCCCAAAGCCTTACTGAGTCTTCCCGAGTTTGTTCGAGAGAACCCCCCTCCACATATCATGCAAGCGTCAGCTCCACCTGCCTCTGCCGTGCGCAAAAAGCCGATCCGACACCGCAGTCTTTCGGCTCCTTCTCTCTCCTGGCTGCGGCCTTCCTCCTCCCGTTCTCATCTGCGCTCGGAAATCTCGAATTCAAACTCGTCTCCGGGGATTCCCGACAGTGAAGGTGTGTCAAACTGTGATTATCCTAGCCTTAGCCCGTTCTAAGACGGGTTACAGTCCAATTTGCTGTTCATTACGTCGCGGAGAACCACGAGAATCTCCAGCGGATCCTCGTTTTCCTTTGCGTTCAAGGGTTGGAGCCTGGAGCCGATATCGAGGCTGAGGTGCTGCCCGCTGGAGGCGAGACCGACTCAGGCGATTACTTGGTGGTCAAGAGTGGACCGCATGTTTCGCTGCCACTTATTCTTCCTGGTCGGGTAAGTCCTGGCCGGAAGGAAGTCCGGGCGCAAGGTGGTCACTACGAAATCAAACTGGCGACGATCCCTGCTAGCACCAGCGACGTCATCTCAGCCCCTCTGCTCGATGCGATGCAACTAGCTGCAGCGAATCCGACGTCGTACATCTGCTCTTCTTGCTCCTCTCCTCTGGTCCAGTCGTCGAAGGTCAACATCTACAAAGATCTGCCGTCAGAGCATTGGGAAGAGTTGGTCGACGCCTGGATGTGTCACGGGGACCAAAAGTTGAACGAGAAAGTTGTCAAACACGGCAAAACTGGTTTCTGGCCTGAGCAAGGTCAGGCTCTTGTCGGCGGCAGCTACATTCTTTTCGACGAGTCTGCAATCAACAAGAGCAACCTTCGGCTTGCGGAATCGCCCAAGGTGAGTTTCATTTCCTCTCTCCATTTTCGGGCCAATAAGAAGACCGGCACTGGATTTCCACCAGTGGTCGTCTGTTTCTGCATCACAGCCCTCACCGGAAGTGGATATATACCCCCTGCCTAGCTTGCGTGGTTGATCCATGGATGGACGTTGTGCTAGTGTGGAGGCAGCGACTTGATCGGTTGATACCAAGTGCCCAAGATTAAAAACCAGTTGCTCTTCAAAACAACTCTCGTGTTACTGAGATCCACGTCCCGGGAGCTACTTTAGAGAACACAATGCTTCGATTTCTGTCAGTCTCGCTGACAGTTTTTTCAGCGCGTGGAAGACTGGAAACTGGCTCGTTGCATCTGTGGCGCTGTTGTTGGACGATGCCAGGAACATGGCAGCCAAGGTCACAACGTATTCCGTATGCTCAAATATGCAATCCGACCCATCAGTTCATCCATCGAGTGAGTACCTGAATGCGACATTACTTTGCGATGCTCATTTTAGCGCAGACAGTCCCGGCTTCCTCTCTCTGCATTTGTGGTTGAGGATATGTCGGAATTTGTTGAAGCGCACGCTTCCTATCGATTCATCGTGTTTGACGAGGAAGACGAGCGTCCTCGGATCCTTGTAAGCAGGTACTTACTTACAATGCTTTTGCTCACTTCCTGCCATGCAGATGTGGTTATTCAAGCCCAGCATGCGACTTGCATATAGCACCCAGACGCTGTACTCAATGCCGCGCAGCGCCTCTATCCGAACTGCCAAAGTGCTCTTCAAGCTATTGGGACCTTCGGAGGCGACCTTGGATTTGAAGAGGCAGGTGTCGATGATCGCCTTGTTATCCAATCTGACAACTCTGTCCCAGTCTTCTCGACACTTATCCCGGTTTCCCGCAAGCCGAATATCTTTTCTATCCGATGGATGTCTGCCACCGGTTGGCAGCTTTACTCAAGGAGAGCAACAGCTCCTATCCGCAGAGCCTGCGTGTTATGACAGGCCTAGATGTCGGATGGCTCCGGAGAGCCTGAACAAAACTAATCGTAAATGCCGGATCATGTATTTACTGCATGCGCCCTCTGTACTAATTCAGTTATGCGCCGTTATTGAGGCTACCAGGGCATCGCCTACTTCCTCCGATAATAGCCCTTTTGCGTCGGTCTCGTTGTCTAGTGCCCACTCATAAGACTCGAGTAAGAGAATGTCTGACAAGGGAACAAAGTGGCTCGCAAGGATGCGAATGATATTGCACACACGCGAGATGGCACTACGAGTGGCTGCGTCGATGTCCTGGACACATTCAGTCCCCTGTCCAGGTCCAAATGTCAGACTCACATCATTGAGGTTTGAATAGATCGTCTCCGAATCGAATCCCTCTTCACCCTCTTGTTCATTCTCTTTGACGTGCTTGCTGACCCAGATGTATCCATTCAATCCGAGGATCAGATCCACTCCACAAGGAAGAGAAATGAAATGGGATTTGAGGCGCCGAACGAGTATCGGAGGGATGGAAACGAGTTGGCCATTTCGAAGCTGTCCAGTTATAGTGTGCAGGCACCATTGGAACGGTAGCGCACCTTGCCGTACTTCAAAGAGCGCGTGTGGAGCGACATTGCGCCGTCAGCGAAGAAAGCCTGAACTTCTGCCACGAGAAGATCTCCTTCTTCGAAAAAATTCCGCATCTGCAGTTCGTCGCTTTCAAGTTTTCGCCGCTGACCAATACCTGGGTAAGAAAGGGATAGGATCGCGATAGAAGAGCCATACTTGAACACCGCCCGGTAAGTTGACCGACGAGAGCATGAGGACAGCGTCTTGGCGAGAGTGGGCGTCTACTTTCCATCTCCGAGGTTGAACCTGGAGAAATGTGAAAACCTGAATGAAGCGCGTCAAGTCGTGTCCGGACCTCCGTGATCCTTCCCACTACAAGATCCCCCACTTCGGGGTTATATCTGATCGGAGGAATGAGCACGATGTCGCGTCGCGGGGGTGAGTAAGATCGACGCGCACCTCGATTGAACTGCCCGCACGGTGACAAGCTTGTTCACGCGCTCGATAGTTCCAGTGACAGACGCAATGACTTCTTCATTATCGACATATGTGCCATGACCGCTGCAGAAATCACACTTGATCAGAAGTAGTTCGGACCTCTGCGGACAACCCACCGCATGTAGGCTTGAGACGATGCGATCGTCTCCCCCGGCCAAGTCACTCTGGACGGTGAAGCTATGTCCAGCTCTTCATCGACCAGGTCCATGAGTTCCTCATCTTCCGCTGGGACGTTTCGTCCAAGGAAATCTGGTTTGATGGGGAAGGAAGTGAAGGAGATCATTTTCTACACACACGGACAAATATCTGACTTGACCCTAACGGACTAACTTGAAACTTGGCGCCTGAGCTTTCAGTACCTAATAGCAAAAATTCTGGAGTTTCTCCAGACAATCGGATCCTGTGAATAAAAAATCGTTGACCTCGAGATCTCAAGAACTCGAATGGTCAGGTAGTCTGGACTTTTGAGGTCAGGCCAACCAAGCCGCCGGAACTGACCGGCGTATGATGCGATCGGTTCCACGGACCGCGGCACCAGCCGCGGCAGATAGGCGCGATCATTACCGCTGACTGGGCTGAATGGTTGCGTTAATATTGCGATTGACAACCCCACACGAGGACTCAGGAGACCTCCGGACATGTCTTATTTTCTGCTTCACTTGTCCTCGAAATGACGAGACGCTCAATGCCACTGGAACAACCGGTAATATCAGCCACGGGCTGCATCACATGCCCGTGATCATGCTGTCAAAGGAAACTAGTGCCTCGGAATAAAGGGTTGGCCTGGAGGTTACACTTGGCGAGAAACCACACTCTCAACATTGTCGGATACCGACCGGTTCTGCGATACCACGACACTCACGACTTGTCTATTCTCATCGTTCTTACGCCTACATATCGACCTTTCGTGATTCCAGCAACCACGCACGACTAAACGACATCCACGACTCAACCCTGGATTTGGTTCTCGACGACATCTTACGCGTCACTTACTTACGAAACACTGGTCAGTGCCCTATTCTGACATTGATAGTGACTCAGACTAGAATGCTACCAGGACTAACTAGAAGAAACGACCTATGTCAATGGAAGCGGAGGGAGCGGAAGCCGCTCGGCCTACGAGGCGAGAGACCATCTTGAGCTTGGTCGAGATGTTGTTGCAGCCGGGGAGTGGGGACCTCAGTGCGTATATTCAACGCCCGGTCAGCTATGCGACACTGACGAATTGCGACCAGACTCAAATCAAGTACCCAGTTTCGAAGATGACAAAGACGTCCGTGAGTACACACGTCAAGCTGCGTTATGGGTGGCGTAGAGGATTGAACGACGGGCAGCTTCGGTGGACGACCACCGGCAGACCGCCGGTGCAGAAACCTTCCACAAGTTCCAACGGTGCGTGAACTGCACCGCTTGCTACCCCACACAAAATCTTGAATGTTGTGGGCAGGAGGATAGATGCTTTGGACAAACAAGTGTGTGACCGTGCAGGGTGTCCGAGCATCTACTGATCCTCCCCAGCTTCGGAACTTCGCAAACGCCACACGTGCGTGCAGTACCCCTCCCGAGCCTCCCCACACTGACGCGCCCGATCGCAGGTCAATTGGGCAGTTCTGTGGCGATTCTGTCCTCGGCGTTCCACCTCCGAGAAAGGATTGCCCAGCTCGTGTTCCTGTACCGTGAGAATGCAGCCGATCTCTTTCCCCGGAAGATTCCGCACGCGACTAAGGAGGCGATTGTCGACGCCAGGAAAAGCAGACGAAGGATCAAGGGTCCCAAGCTTAAAGGGCATGTCGCACCGCCACATATTGCAAGACCGACTATCGACGAAAGCCTGGATCTTGTTTGTCTAACGTACTGAGATGTCGTTTTGTGCTTACAATTCCCACAGGAGTTGTTTCCCCAGCAATTCGAAGCTCTGGCTGAGAACTTGGCCACGTTTGGTCGCTGCCTCAACGAGTTTCCTGAATTCAACGACGAATCCATCAATGCATCCATAACCTCGTTCGAAGGTGATCTTCGGGTAAGAGTTATCATGGAAACTAAGTATCCGCTGATCATACTTCGTAGTATTGGGCCTCCTGTCTGAAAGTCTACAGTGGTATATAACGGAATGTGTGTTTGACTGGGCCGCTCTCTGACAGCCATCGCAGGACAGTTTCGTTATCCGGCCGTGCAAAGATATGTTCATGATCTAACCGCAGAAATGGGAGAACACTTGGATAGCATCACTTCCACTCTCGTGATGTTTGTCGAAATTGGTATGCTGGTCGATCTGTTGGCTGTGCCAAACTGACATCCGTGACACAGGTGTACCTACCATCCGATTCGGACAGCGTCACAAAACTGACAACCTACTCAACCTGTCGACCGTAGCAACCTTCTTTTCGGCAGTCACCGCCACGACGTTACAATTCTCATATAATTTGGTGGGGACACCAGTCCAGGATGCGGTCAATTCGTTCTGGTTCGCGTCCCTGGTTTTCAGCATCGCTGCTGCAGTCAACAGTCTCCTGGGGCTCACCTGGAAACAAGCCATGTAGTGAGTGATATCATAGACTGCATTTGAGAATGCTGCTCAAACAAGGGCAGCCGATCTCCTGGACACCGCGTCCCATGGTGGGTGCTCATCTGGATCAAGCGATCTCCGCTGGTATTCCTAGTGATGTCTGTGGCCTGCTTCTCTCTTGGTCTATGTTTGTTTGCGTATGCATCGGGTCAAGTAGGTTGAATGGCTGGAGCGTTCTGGCCCTGTACTGAGAATTCACAGTCCAGGGTCACGGCGACGATTACGACTGCTTTCACCGTGTTTACTTCCCTCGGCCTGGTTGCCGTATCGGGTTGGTTCGTATCGGAGCGATGGGTTTTCTCGCGACATCGCGGGCGGAAGTGGCTTCAGGAAGTCCTGCTCGACACGTATGAACGTTTCATGGCAGTTCCGTCCGTGGCTGCCACTGCGCGCTTTTGGAGGCGAACCAAGAGACGGCTGCGGAACTTCAAGTTACTCATGAAACGGCTTGTGTTCAAGACAGCCCATTTTTTGAACAGAGACAGCGATTCGGAAAAGAGCGATGATCCTGAGGCCAACACGACCAGCACGATTCTCCCTCTTGCAAATGGCAATGGTCATATGCGTCAACTCTCTGCTCTGGGCAGTGTCCTGAACTTACCTGGGACATTCAGCGAGGCCAGCGCTTCACAAGCTGCGTCGGACACCTCACCCACGACCCCGGTTCCTGCGAGCGTCAGGACTAGTTCGGAACTGACGCCTACCCCCGGCTCACCTGGTGGACCATCGCGCGGAAAAATTCTCTGGAAGAATGCCATGCAGACAGTGAAGATGCGAAGTGTTGCAGCAGCTCCGTTCGGACCGTACACCCCGCACAGGCAGAGAACATCGTCCTCGAATCTGAATCTGGCAACATTGGATCGCAAGCGCACGGGGGATGAGCCCGTCAAGGCTCTGTTGCTCCGGTCGAGAGTTGCCACGCTCAAACCAAAACTCAATGCTCTTGCCGCTACGGAAGCTCTCGAAGCCCATCAGGCTCTGGTCAGACACCTTCAGTTCTCACCCGATGGCAATTTCTTGGCTACGTCAAGGTATGTTCCGTCCCAGTGGAACCTAGATGAACCACCGATCTATCACAGTTGGGACCGTACTTCAATCATCTGGCGCGTAGAACAACCCGTGATTTCGCCCCACCGTGTTTTGGCTCATCCACAAGGCTTTGTCGGGCAAGTGGCTTGGTGAGCGTCGAACTCATTTCCTCGGAATGTGCTTGAACGGTGGCCTCAGGTCGGATACGGGTAACATGCTCCTCACTAAACTCATCCGCGGCGTCAAAGTCTGGTCCCAGGATGGTGTGTGCCAGAAGACCATAGATCGCCGGATAAATGTGGAATCCATCGCCTGGTTCCCTGGAAGTGAGGGTATGTCTAATCTTGCTACGCCAACGACGGTCATGCGGTCCTGACCGTATTTGTAGCATTCCTTTCTGTCGAGGAAAACACTGTCACGAAGCTGGATCTCCGCGGCAATGTTCTGGCTACGTACGATTTCGGACGGACCAAGTTGCACGACGTCACAGTCACCCCCGACGGTGTGCGACTTCTTGGTGTCGGTCCCCTGCTCGAGTCGCCGACGGGGCTGCACCCCAGCCGGTCCCCAGCGGAGAAACGGCTGATGGGTGAGTGCTCTCTGGAGCGGCCGTCTGTCTCTACTTAAACGAAATTTCAGTGTATAACATGGAAACAATGACATTCGAACAGTGCGTCATCTTTTCAGTCCCAGGAAACCACTCATTTTGTCGACCAGTCAAACACCTGTCCTCAACGATGTTCGTGATGTCACTCTAGCCCGGAACACCACACGGAACGGTCTCGTTGCATTGGTCAGCTACGAAAATAAGGTCTGGTCGTCCGCTTCAGTCTGCATCCCAACAGCTGACGAAGATGAAGGCACCGCCGCAATTATGGAAGCTGGATTTAGTGAAGGATCGCGAGCATCCGTCGCAAATGGTTGCTAGATTGACACTAAGGCAAGGCTTTCGGCCGTCAATTCCTTCGATACTAATCAATGAACCAGACACACTTACATGCCCAAACATTCGGTCGAGTTTGCTGGCCCAAGCTACTTCGGCGGCAAGAACGATGAGCTGGTCTTATGTGCCGGAAAAGGTCAGTCAATGTGCTTGTTCTGGATTTGGGTACATCTCTGACTTCATGTCGCAGCCGGGGATATTCACATCTGGGACCAAGAAAGCGGGACACTGCTTCGGCATATCCGGGCCGCTCAGCAATCTGGAGATTTGACTTGTATTGCATGGAACCACGCCGCGGAGGATCCGTTCATGTTTGCGACTGGCAGCCATGATGGAGCGGTGAGGATATGGACCAAGCCGATTGAGATTTCGGGTGGGAAGGGCCTGGCGCCTCTTGCCATTGACACCGAAGAAAAACCGGACACAAAAGAAAGCGAGCCAGTCCGCTCGTCGTCGCCATTCGACATGGCCCGCACGGACAGCCCGTTGACGCAAGCTGAATTCGAGTCAGTTGAGACCTTGAGAAGGCAAGACAGTCTGGGCACGGCCAGTGCAAGTTCTTTGTCCGTAGCTCTGGGGACGATGGCGCGTCATATCACTTTCCTACCGGAAGAATCAGACGACGAGGAGAGTACATGATCTCTTTTGCTATGCGGGTATGTATCCAATCCCTATACTGTACAATATGTCCCAATGGAATAGAAAAAAGGAAACGTTATAATCATTGCTGAAGTAGAAACCCGAGAGCGAAGCCCAGAGACTAATTCGAGTCGGTGCAACACCGACGCCCGTTACATAAGCTATCGCCCACATTTGGACGGGACTCACCACCTGACTGCTCATGAAATGGAGTGGAGCGAGTATATAACTCGGAGCGGCTTATCGCGATTAGCGGGTGCGGAGGGAAGTAGTGCGCTTAGGAGTTTGGGCGGATGAGGACCCTGCCGATTGTCCATACTGTGGTCAGTCGCAGCTGTTCCGAGATGTCTGGCCCACCAGGATAAGATTATGACAGGGGGCTGGAGCTGACACAACACGTGTTTCCAGCGGCGAACAGCAACGATGTCCAGAAGACCACAAAATCTGATGGTGGGAGTTCCAGATCGCACCTGAATTAGTCTGCCTCGAGGATGGATGGACGGACGGATGGGTGGCTGAAGACATGTTCCCATCGTCTCAGTGATGGATCCAACCATGTCTCACTTCAGCACGTGTGATCAGGGAGGCAAGCATCCAGCACTGAAGTGTGTATTGACTCGGCTAGGAAAGATACCACGATGTCCCAACGAGGTTGAAGATAAGATACAGTCGAGCACCACTGCCGGGAAAAGCGAACCCTGTGCGCTCCAGTAGAAGGTTGTCTAATGTGTGGGGAAAGCCTAAGATTGTCGCTTTCTCAATAAGGAGTGGTGGAGTGACGGGGCTAGCAGGTTCCAAATCAACCGGCATGACCCGGCTGCTCGAGCCTCGGAGCACCCCAAATCACGAACGGGGATGTCAAGCGGTAATAGGCGAGGCTTGTTCCAGTGAGAGGCATGCACTGAGAAGACTCGGAATGTCAGCAGCGTGTGCATGACATCGAGCTGCACTTCGGCCACAGAGCTGTTTCACGCTGCATTTCAGAGCATGCCGGGAGAAGTTACTTACATAGTACAAGCTGTCTGGAAGTGGAAACGTCGGACACAGCCTTGCTGTGCCTCCTCTGCTTACGGCTGCTGAAGAGAGCCGGGTCTGCACCGCTTGAGCCCCTTTGCAATGTTTTGATCCACAGCGCTGCAGTGCACGGAATGTGAGAGCCGCAACGCGGAGAATGCATGGATTCACGGTCGTAAATCAGCTGTGTTCTGGAAGCTGGGCGACGATCACGCCATTCTGATACATTGCCCCTGACAGGCCCAGAAAGGGAAGAGGAGTCATGTTTGCTCGCTATTTGGTGCAAAGTCTTATTAAAAACAAAAGGCGTTGCCAAACAGGCTCCAGTAACAACCCTTCATCCCCCGACGACGACTCCGCCGCCCCTCAGCTACTATGCTGCTCGTTCACAAACCAATGCCCATAGCTCAAACTTTCATCCACACCCACCGCAGGCATCCGTCCGCACCTGCCCCCAATGTCGTCGTCCAACCGACTCGCACTCCGGGCTTGCTTTCCATTTCAAAGCCGCCACGGGCGAAGAATGACTTCCACGGCTCACACAGAGGCTCTCCTAAGCAGCGACCAGCCGTTCCCGCTTCGAAGTCCCCGAAACCTACGCCAGCTGAAACTGCCCCGTCGACCAAGACACCTGAGACTAGGGGCCGCCAGGGCAAGCGGCAGCAGGCGCAAAACCTTCAGGCGCATCAACAGCAGCAGCCGACACCGAGACGTAGCTCATCGCAGGCTGCTCCCTCTCGTCGTCGTCAGCCCTCACCAGACCCCTTCAAAGAAGGTCCGGCACCGCCACCCTCTGTCCAGACCCCTCCAGGTCCAAAGCGTCGGCAGCCCATCCCCGTCCCCAACTCAGCGCCTGCAGCCTCTAGACAGCAGGTGGCCCGATCGGAACCTGCTCCCTCTCGTCTCCCTCGTCGCAAACCCGTGCGTTCCACGACTCTCGATTCTACAGCTTGGGATTCTTTCCCCATATGCGATGACATGACGGAAGCTGGTTCGCGTCCTACGACGCCATCTCCCGCAGTCTTCCCCATTCCCAATGTTAGCGTGCCTGCTGTGGGCCGCCTCCGGCCAGCCCTTCGCCTGAGCGATCCCCACACGCCACCAAGACGTACTCGGCTTCCGGAGCCCCCATTCACCGCTCCTCTCTCTTCTGTGCAGTCTGGCACTTCGTCTTTCCCCTTCCCCAGCACCACTCCAACTCCGCCCGGAACGAGCCCCAAGCGTCGACTCGCTGCTCGGACGAAGCACCTGAGCGAGGGCGTCTTGATTCCCCTGCCTTTCTTCGCACCGGAGCTGGTCAACCCCAGACGCAGTCGGTCGAGTGAGCGTGCTGAGGACGGACAGGTCTTGGAAGATGGATACTTTGCGAGTTCCACTTTCCAGAACTCCCCTAGTCCGGACGAGTTACCTCCGCCGCTCTTTGCTTGGTGGGTTATCTGCCTCTGCAATCTACTCATCCGTTCATCTCCTGCAGAGCGCTATCTTTATCATTATTTCCGTTTTATTACCCGTCACCGGCCGCCTCGTCACGGACACCCGCGCACATACACTGGTTTCTAGCAAAGTCTGCCAATATCTCGCGCTTTGCAGTCGGTTACCTGGCTCTGTAACTGCTATCTGGAATCCTCTCCCCCTATCCTGGTCCGACCTTTCCTCTTTACGACCACCCCCATTTCTCCGGGTTCGACCTCTTCCTCCATTCTGTCAACCGACATTTATCAAACGGCATGACAAACGGACCCGGTTTCACCTGTGTTTATTATCTGTCTCGACTCATTCTGTGTATCGGTTCCTCAGTGTATACCTAGAAGTGGGTTCTTCACTGCTCTCCGTTCATATAACTGATCTGATTGCAGTCTCAACAAAACAAAACCCCAAACACAACCGAACTGCGGGACATCAGCCCCGGTGCAGATCTGTGCTGGGTGTGTCTGTCTTGCGAGTAACTTATAGTCGAAGAGTATTATTTTGGACGTTGCCATCTCAGCCGCAGACCCCCAGCCCGTTCTCCGCTCCGCCTTCCTTTCTACGGGCCATTCCGTTGCCGATGTACCTCGTGTCCTGTGATCGTCGCTGTTCTCGACGACCATTCATCCAGCGGACCAGTCACTTTGGCAGCTCTCGCAACATCGTATCTCGCATCGCACTGCATCGTCTTCTTGCTGTCGATTCTTCACAATCTTGACGCCAATGATTGGAGCTCGGTTGCGCCTCTTGTGCTTCAATGTATCGCACGGTCGTTGCGTGCCTCAATCCATGTCGACCCTATACTATATAATATCCCGATTATTTCCTTCTGTTCCCCCTTCCACGCAATTGAAGGTTTTGGTATGTGAGTTTACCTCCAGCATCAAGTCGACCGCTAAAACCCTGCTTAGCTCGACACTGTAACACTATCACCAGCAACGCATACCCTCTACCCCTTCCTATCCCGTCTACATATCCTATTCCGACCATCCCACTGTCTTTTCCGGCCCATTCTTCTTCGTGTCGGTTATGTTTGCTTGTCGCACTCGTGGATGATGTCATCTGCGGCAAGGGCTCGTCGGACTGGCCTCACTTCCTTTGTCCCTGCTTTTCCGAGCACGTCTCTCGGACCCACTCGTGGATCAATGGGACGGCATCTACGCTTGTTCTTGACGCGTGAGGCCTTGTCGCTCATTCCCTATTTCTGTATCTCCTCGCTGGGCTACGGCTGTTGGGTCAATCGAAGAAATAAATGTATCTTGTACGATCATCTGGTGTGACCCCAGTGTGCACGTCTTTGGGGTTGGTTGATAGCATAGTGCTTGCATGCCACTAGTACCGTAGTTCTAGAGCAAAACTAGAAACTGTTTCCATCATCTTGAGGAACGCGGTGACCGATCACTCAACCCGCCACATCGCTACATCGTTGTGCTTGTGGTCTCAGTCGTTCATACGATGACGAGACGGGGAGCCTTCATTGCCATCGAAGGGCTCGACAGGTCTGGTAAGACTACGCAAGTCGACCGTTTGCGGGCGCGAATGGAGGAGCAGGGTCTCAATGTCAAACTACTCAAATTTCCCGGTCTGTAATCGCCACTCCATGCGCCAGTGGGCTCACAATCTGTTTCTTTCCTGTGTAGATCGTACTACGGCCATAGGACAGATGATCGACGCGTATCTGCGCTCCCATACCGAACTTGACGACCGCGCTATCCACCTGTTGTTCTCAGCAAACCGATGGGAATTGGTGTGCGCCTTGCTACTCCTCCCCAATCGCTCAAAGTCACACACCTCTCAGCTCGACGATCGAGAGCCTCGTATCTCAAGGTACCACAGTAATCTGCGACCGATACGCGTTCTCTGGCGTCGCCTTTTCCGCGGCGAAAGGCCTCCCACTCGCTTGGTGTCGCGCACCGGATGTCTCGCTCCCTGCTCCCGATCTCACTGTCTTCCTTGACATCTCTCCCGAGGATGCGCGCAAACGCGGCGGATATGGAGAAGAGAGATACGAGAAAGAGGAAATGCAGCGCAAGGTCAGGGAGATCTTTGCCGAGATCGGACGGGAATTCAGCGAGGGCCGGTGGGTCGTGCTCGATGCGCGAAGGGAGCGCGATTTGGTGACGCAAGACATCTGGCAAACGGTGCACAAACTGGCGAGTGGTATTGAGGGGCCACTCCAGTCACTATGGAGCACACTTGATTAGTAGGATGACTTGTGATCGAACATTATACAGATGAATGTAAGTTACAGGGCAAGTGTGTATTCGTAGTCGTTGTTCGTGGTCTGCGCCATCCATAAAACAGCAACCGACAACATAAGCGCGACATTCTGGCTGACGTTGGCATATCCGTAGTACTGGAATTGCGGTGTGTGTTCAGGCATGATGTATTTCAGCACCAGAACGGTCTGAATGCTCCTGGTGAGCAACTTCAGTGCGCGGAAAGCCATAACGCACCACACTCCCCGCCAAACCTCCCGCCATCAACGCAAACCCGAGAAACAAGAATAGTCTCGCTCTCCACACCGCCCTGGGGTCCCCGAACCCGTCGTCTCCCTTGACACGGTCTTTGTCAATGAGATTGATTATAAGGAAACCGAGCAGCGAGCATATGCCTGGCACCCAGTCGGCGAAGTTGACGTGCACGGGAACTGGAGTGTCCGGTTGACCCCACGGGGCTTTAGCGTGGGCGGAGAGGATGCATGCGTCCAGGAATATCCAGTTCGCAAGGGTGAACTGCGCACAGGCACGATATTTCAAGTCAGAGTTGCGGTTTTGCTCGATTGACGAGTCACCCACCAGGAACCCGGCAGTGTAGACGCCTAATGTGCGCTTGTGCTTCTCAAAGTTCAATTCGGGGAATGGATTGAGGCAGACGCGCCGAGGGTCATAGGTGGAGGGGGGCAGAGACATGGTGGTGGTCGTGATGTAATGTGACCCAGACGGGTCAGTCACGATGATTTAGGGCTTTCCGTTGAACAACTCCAGAATCCTTGAGCTCTGTCAATTCCTCCATGTTTCTTCGATGTTGGTCCCAGCTCTGAGCCTGGGTAGGGCTTCTATTCCCACAGTCTCTGTCTCCTGGGTTGGGAACTCGAATCGGCGAATCTCGGCCGAGACCCAACGGGCGTATTCCTCGCTGAAAGGACATCCCAACCACCTTGACATGAACCTGACTTCAATACTTGCAGTCAGATGAATTTGTTCAAGCCGCTTACCATTTCCTTTGTTCTGAATCGACTCAGACTGTCTGGCTATCTTTGGCTAGCTTCTCGTGATCAGCAGTTCCAGACTCTATGTGGTCCGGGATAATCGAGTGCTGCACGATCCAATAGAGTCGAAGCAATATGGCATACACTCACAGCAGCCCCGCGTTTGAATCTGGTGATAGATCGAGGGAGACAAAGGCCTATGCGCCCCGATGATTCAGACCAAAATGGCATCAAGTTCAGTGGAGTTTGGCCGTGGGAGGGTTAAATATTGGAGGTTAGAGGCCGCAAGGCTTTTGAGGGAAAAAGTTATCAGCTTCTGATGGCTGGATTTAAAGGCACCCGGTGGAGCTGAAGTGTCGTTACCGAGTGTATAGAGCAAAAAAAAGTTCGACCACTGTGCGATTCGAACACACGCGGGGAAACCCCAACCGCTGAACTAAGCAAGATAGCAGGCGATCACCTTAACCACTCGGTCAAATGGTCCTGTTGAGCCATATGAATGGGATATTACCTACACAAAGGTGTTTGATCATTGTGGTTTCAAGAAGATAGAGTTTTTTTTTGAGGATTCTGTGCTACTAGGATTGAAGAGGGGTTCTTAGTGCCCTTTTAAGTGAAAAGACAAGACTGCAGACCCTGTCAATCAAGTGTAGGACATGATCTGTCAGGATTTTGGGCTTTGGAAGGTGGTATTGCCTCTTGCAGTATTGTGTCCGAGGTGGGATTAGCCTTGCTGCTGTTTGGGGGTGTCAGGCACAGCTCAGATCTGTGTTTCTCGTGAGCAGGAAATATGGTGGTGCCCTGTGAGCCGGTGTAAGGGCAACTCCCACCAGCCCAAAGGGAGAGAGCACATAGCACACAACAATGTGACAATCAACTCAAAAACAAAGTTGATAAGAAGAGTGAATTCCAAGACTGGAGAATACATCACAATATCTACAGTATTTATACCAGTCCCAGTGTGAGTCATATCTACATCAAACAAGTCATGAGACTATATACTGTGTGGAGCATTAGTCATGGGCTGTAGTAGAACCTTCTGGAGCACACACCCCACAGCCTTTGTACAGATAACATCTCTGAACCCCTAATCTGGACCATGTGGTGCCATGATCCATGATAAGATGACCTGATATCAAGATTAGATAAGATTGTTGATGAAATGAGGAAAAAGTGATTGAGTTATAACAGAGCAGCAGCGACTTGTTCCGCGTTGGAGTCCCCCAAAGCCCTCTGAAGCTCCTCCAAGAAAGTCTTTGCTGTGACTCCTGCCTTCAGCCCCTGGAAGCCCTCAAAGTTGTGCTGCTTCCAATTCATTACCCATCTTGAAGTGGCACAGCTTGTACCTGCCTTGTTATGGAGGTAGGAGAGAACAACAAGGATTTTGGTTCTAATTCCAAACAATAAGCACCAATATAAGTGGTGCACAAGTCCACAAAGCCCAGGTACTTGGACTTATTGCCATCAAAGTAGGGAGGGTTGGTGGCGAGGGTAATGTGGTGTCCTGTCATGGTACAAACAGGTGTGGTAGGTGGAGATGTAGGTGGCTGTTTGGAGGGCAATTTGTTGAGGTCGGGGATCTCATCCTTCAGGAGGTAGGAGGGCAAGGTAGGGATCAGAGGACCTGGATTGATTTTGATATGCTAGATCAGGCAACAAGGGTGTGAGGGGGGAGGAGAGGGACTCCCAAACAAAGATGGGAATTGGTATGAAATCATGAATTTGTGTACTGTACAAGCACTTGAGGAAAGGTTCTTTTGCTAGCAAAAAGACCCCGGGCCTAGCTCTTCATGTGCCCAATGATCCTGAGGTATGTTTTCCCAAACAGCAGTAGAAGTGCCAATCTCTTTATGCAGCATGGCATCAATGGAAATTTCTTGGGTGGAAACAACTTGAGTGGAAATGATTACATATACGGAGGACAATTTTAGTCAGTAGCTATAACCAGTCATACAAAGCTATATACTGTTTTGTTGACAATAAGCTGCCTCAGCCTGATAGCCCTCCCACATAGCCTGTGCAAGGCAGTCTCTGCATTCCTTAGTGTCAGGGGAACCCCCACTTTGGACCGCTCTGCCTTTGATCAGGCATGTGATCGCGCTTGCGTGACCTGTCAGCTGTCACGTGCCGTGGCCCGGACCGCTGCGCCAAGCGCTTCTCTCTGATGGGCACATGGTCAGGTGTCCCATCGTTCCCACTGTCTCGGTTTCCTATTGTTCTCCAACGGCCATTGTACTTATTGTTCCCATTGTTCTTTGTTTGTTGCTGCGTGCTCTATTGTTCTTGTATCATATAAATAGTGGCGCCTGGCAAGGAGAATCCCCAACACGGTTTCTCTTTGGATTCTCCCTTGCCAGGTATGCCGGTCTTGTACCTAGCTACCACTATTGACACTTTGGATTCTCCCTTGCCAGAACTCTGAGATCGGGTCTCGAGGTTGCCCTTACAGCAGAAACCGTGTTCCTAGGGATAACTAGTCAAGATTACGAGGTTCGACGCCAATAGTAACAGCGGAGACGAGTCGACGAGCAACCAAGACCGCCAATCCGTCACCTCTTTTCTTGCCCCCTCCTCCCCTCCACAAGCACACTCGACCAGCATGGGAGACGACAACTCCCAGCATCGACTGTCCGCCCTGGAGACCAGCATCCAGAACATCGAAGCCGTACTCAATTGGCTCCTCAACCAACCACAACCCCCTGCCCCTGCCCCTGCACCAGCTCCGGCAGTGGGTCCAGGTGTTTCTGCTGGCTCGCAGTCAAACACTGCGCGCCCCCTCATCTGTCCCAACCCCCCCTTCTCGTTCGATGGGGATCACACCTTGGGCAAGAGCTTCTTGCACTCGGTAAAGCAGTACTGGCGACTGCTCCCCGAGGCGTTCTTCGTGAATGGGGTGGTCGCTGAGGAGAAGGTAGTCCGCTTCGCCCTCTCCTACATGTCCAAGGACTCAGCGGCCTCCTGGTCCGAGCGCATGTCCAAGCGCACCCCGTTCCTGTTCCCCACTTGGGCTCTGTTCGTCACCGAGTTCAAGCTCCGATTCGTCGAGGAGAACGAGCAAGACCATGCCTTGGCGCGATTGGAAACCCATCAGTATTATATGGGCTCCCGCGACGTATTCAAGTACACGGATGAGTACGACGACCTCCTTGACCTCGCTGGTTATACCGACAACTTGGTCAAGGTGACCAAATATAGGACAGGCTTGGACCCGAGGATCAACCAAGCCATCACCACCTCTGGTAACCCTCCCAGCCTCACCGACTACGCTGAATGGCGTGTCCGTGCGTTCCGGCAGTACAATGCGGAACTTGCTGCCAGAGCTTCTCGAGGCCACGCAGCGCCTCCTCCCTGAGCGCCCGCTGTTGCCCCCCGTCCTTGTGCCCCGGTGCTCCCTGCTGTAGCACTGGCCCTCGCTGCCCGCCCGGCGCCCGCCCCTGTTGCCCATCCAATTCCCATGGAGGTAGACCGGGCCCGGCTCCGTGGTGACATTCGACGCACCTGCTTCCGCTGCGGCAGTCCGGGTCATCTTGCCTGTGACTGCCCCACCCCAGCTGACATACGTCACGCTGATGTCCTTGATGAGGTCATCAATCAGCTGGGGAGTGATCTGCTTTCCGAGTTGGTTGCTCGGGTCGCGACCACTGCAGCCGTTGCGGATCATGTGTCCAACGTTGCAGCCAAGGAGGAGCAGGGTTTTCTCCCCAGCGACGAGTGAGTAGTACGCCCTCGTTTGCTTCACGTAATCGTTTCTCCTGTTTGTATGATGAATCCAATTCCCTCCACTCTGCAACAGTTGAAGCGATAGACGTACACCCTGCTCCCCCTCTAACCCCACGAGTCTGTAAGGAGAAGTGGGAACGCAAGCTCCCTTCCTGCTATGTCGCTGCCGCCTCTCCCGGGGCCAATTCTCTCCACCTCCCCCTCGAGATTGAGTCCACCGACAACGCAGTGAAGTTATCTCTCAAAGGCCTGGCCAATTGTGGTGCCACATCCGACTTCATTGACTCGGCCTACGTCCTCGAAAATCACCTCCCCGTTCGTCGCCTCACCCAGCCTATCCCCGTTTACAACGTGGACGGCACGCCGAACAAGGCCGGTTCCATTTGCGAAGTTGCTGATGTGGTTCTCCGTTACCAGGGCCACAGTGAACGCGTGCAGCTTGCTGTCACCCGTTTAGGCAAGCAGCAGCTCATTCTAGGGTACTCCTGGCTTCGGAAGCACAACCCAGAGATCAACTGGGATACCCAGGAGGTAAAGATAAGCCGTTGCCCTTCCGGTTGCTCCACCTGCCGGGAGGAACTTTGCGAAGAACGTCGATCTGCCAGAACCGCGGCCCGGGTGCTTCGCACCATCAGACAAGGTCCGGTTCCATCCATCTGCGCTGCCGACGTTGAGGACCACAAGGACGAAGAGATGCCGGAGCTTTTGCCAGACTTGGACGATTATGACCCTGAGGACGTCGAAGAAGATGACGACTCCTTGGAAGCCAGTGACCGTATCTTTTACACCCGCTTCAACCCTTCTGAAAACATCCGAGCCACCAGCACCGTCTCTCAGCGACTTGCCGAGGCGTTTGCTAAGAACTCTGCACCCCCTCGGGATACCATCCCCGAGTGGGCCTGCGAGTTCGAAGATGTTTTCAGCAAGGAGTCCTTCGACAACCTGCCAGAGCAACGCCCCTGGGATCACGCCATTGAACTG